CAGTGCATACAGTTTGGATTTGTTCCTAAAGAGAAATGTGTAGTCTGTTAACTGCATCTATGGTATGATTTGATATTATTGTGATGAATAATGAAACGTTTCCTCTGGATTAATCGTTTTGTTCCATCTTCCAGAAGATGGTACAGAATGTAGTAAAAAAGCAGTGCTTTTTAAGTTTTTTGAATATATTTTAATTCCTAAAGAATGGAACAAATTTTTCCTAGCTGAAAAATCAGAGGTGATAAGGCAGTAAGCAAACATCATTGTTTATCTGATGGCCTGCTATATCCATTTATTATACACAATGGCTTTTCCATTTTTCGGTTTATTTCCAGAGAGTGGTATTATTTCCACCTATTCACATATAAATCTTGAATAGAAAAAAAGAATATCTATTTTTCATATTCCTTTTGAATAAACCTGCCATGAATTGGACTGAATTCCAAAGTTAACTGCATCTGAAGTATAATGAATTCGTAGAAAACTGCATCGTGAGGCATATTGGAACAAGCAAATGTTTATTCTATGCTGAAAAGAAAGAGACACAAAGTTTCGGCCGTGGAGTCTTCTTCACATCTTACTTCATACACTCACACCTAAAGAAGGCTCTACAGCCGAAACATTGTGTCTCTTCTTTTCAGCGTGGAATAAATTTTGTTTCTTTTGCAGCCTGCGCATGCTGACGCAGCTACCTGCTTGAGGTATATTATGCAGCTGGTGTTTAGGTTTTCTTTTGTATATCTATTGGTCTTCAGTCCTGGTCCTGAAGGATCCAAGTCCAGCAGATTTTGTCTCATTTCTAAAGGGATCTCTTATCTTATTGAATCGAGCATTCCAGAAGAAGAGTTGTAGATGCCTGACTTGGATTATACATTTATAAAACAAAACCTTCTGGGCTTTTTTATTGTCCTGTAAACCTCTGTCAAAAGTTATTTCATATCCTTCACTCCCTGTGGCTGAAGGAAATAGAAAGAATCTTTCACATTCTACTAGAAAACAGTGAAATTTCACTGTTTACAGACCTTGTATACACATTTTCTTGAAGCAGAAGGGAATTTTTCAGTTGTTTAGAAGTTGACAAGTACAAATAATAGCTTGACATTTTCTCTGAAAACAAACTAAAACACCAGGATTTTTTTTCTCTTTTTGCAATTTCAGTAAAATAGAAATTATTGTAAGGTCTTCTGCATGCCCTAAGCGAGAAATATAGGAATAGGCATAATTTAATTTTTTAATTTAAGTGTTAGATAAGAAATAAACTTATTTAAACGTATTTTAAATCTCTTTTATTTAATGCACAAACAGTCTTACACGAGGGATTAGTTTTTTTTATAAACATAAGTTGTCTGATAAGAGTTGTCTAAGAAGAAACTATTCCTTTTCACTGCAGGCTTCAATAATGAAATGGAAAACCTGGGATTTAAAAAAATTAGATATAAATGACACTTTACTTTTAGTGACTAAGCAATGTACTAGTTTTGTCGAATTATTTACTATTGAACAGAATAACTCATCTTTTATTATACAAATGTGTTTTGGATATTTCCATGTATATAGTTTCATATATTTAGAAGGTATATCATGTATCAAACTAGTTAATGTACGAAGTAGTTAGCCAGTGATGTGAAGTGAACTTACCACTGCAAATGCTTATAAAGAAATGGGAATAGAGAAATATGTCTCTTTAATATCATCCACATAGAGTATGTTTTAAAAGAGAGATACTTATTATTTCAGCCTTTCAGTATTTCAGTATTTACTATATGAAAACTGCTTTTTGTTAAGGCGTACTTTAAATACTTCATAACAAATAGGTCATAGCATTTCAACTATATGGACATGCGTGTGGTGAAAAGAGCAAAGTTTAAAGGAAAATAAAATGATTTACTGAACTCTGGAAATGGCTTTTTTTGTAATATAAGCACATGCTTGCCTAAAACCCCATACAAACATAAAATTAAATCGGTAATTATTCTGCTTAAGTTTGCAGATCTGAGAAAAAGCAAACTGACATGTTGTGCTCAAGCAAAGCGCCTGTCAGCAATCTGTGCTTGTCCAGATGCAACCGTTTGATTCCTGTTGCTGAAGACAAATTGGCACTCTGGCTACACAGTACAATAAATGCGATCTTCTGTTACTGAAACTTATCCAAGAATTTAAACACAGAGATGAAGACACTGACCGAGTCAAGAATTTTGCTTGAAATGCCTTTCTTTCCTCTTCAAAACAAAACATGATGAGATTCCAATATAATAGAAATTCGTGCTTGCTTACCAATTTAATCTATTTAATGTAACACGTAATCCATGAATATATAAACCAGATAAATTTTCTAAATTTTGAAGCATTTAAAATCCATTAAACCACATCTGTAGAAATGACTTGAGAATTAGGCAGCATTTCTGTTCATTTGTACAGGGAGCTGTGATTTGTCTCAAATAGCTGTGGTGCAAACAGCTTGTTGGACTTTTATCTGACTCTGTAGAGCCTCCACATAACTTAGACGTGAAGTAAACTGTAATGCAGGACCAGCTGTGTTAACTAAAAGCTTCTCTTATCCAAAATATATTGTAGCCAGAACAATTTTCTCTTCATTTGGAATATTTAAACATAAAAGTCTAGTATTCTGTAACTAAGCTTACACATTCTGAAGGATATGGAGTGATGGATTTTTTTCTACACAGTGACACACTGGAAATTTAATTTTCCAATGAAATACATTATTCTTCGAATTATTTTAGGAAATTGGAGATCACATGATTGTACGGCAGGACAGTAGTCCTGAGCTTTTGTTGCCAGATTCTTCTCCTTTTATTATTTTTGCTAGCCCCCACTTGTGTGTTTCTTAATGTGTGAATCATTTGTGCTCTAGAAAAAGGTTGGACTCCTCTATTTTTTTCCCAAGTAAGAAAAAAAGAACATTTTGTTATCCTGAACTGGTTGGTCTACTGCAGCACTCATAGATGATGTCAGATAGATCGCTGTCTGAGGATTTATAAGCTCAGATGTCACATATTCAGAAATGATCATGAAACTGAACTTTCCCTTGGGTGAACAATGGGAACACTGAATAATACCGCAAAGGTGGAACTCGACTTTTTAACAAGCAAAAAAAGCCCATAAAATAATCTATGCAGTGGATTGGTCAGAAGAAATTGAATATAGTGGACTGGTCAAAAGGAATTCCATATTCCATTGGACTCTTGGGTGGGGGGGAGCAAATACCTATGTAGTTTCCAAAACTAACATGGTGAGACTTAAGTGTGTGAGGGACACATGGACTGTAGGGAGAGGCTGTGACAAGGCTAGATTATGATTTGCTTCACTGATAGACTGGTCCTTTAAAAAAAAAAAAGCCGGCATTCCAACTCTATTCAGTTGTCTGAGGGATGTGTGCTGAATTTTTATCCAGACTGTGGTCTAGCAACAGTCCAGCAAACACACCTTTATAAGAATGAAGAGATCACCAGGAGAGATGAGCATTGTCTTTTCTGTTGTACTTGTGTGCTGGACAGTGTCTTTACCTCAGTGCAGAGACTGTGACAAGGCTAGATTATGATTTGATTCACTAACAGACTGGTTTATTAACACAAAATAAGAGTTAAAAGAAGGAAATACTTGATTAAGTGCTATTTTTGCCAGTTTTCCAAGGATATTAATATATTGCAAGGAATATCTCCTTGATATGCATGTAGCAGGCTCGGATATACTACTTAACCTACCTTTTTGAGTGAGAATAGTTACATAGTTATATTTATCACTGTAATTGTCATTAAGAAATAAGGTCTCTATGACACCTTTTCTGTTATTCAATTCAAAGTGACACCTGCCCTCCTTGTATGTACTCTTAAGCAGTTTAGATGTCTTTTTCATAAGGTATGTTCTTAAAGATATTGTATGTGTTGAGATAATTTTCTAGAGGATTATTTTGAAATCTACATTCACCAAACACTTTTGTCACAGTATTTGAAGAAATCTAATGCAAATACATTAAATTAACTTCATTTATCTGTCTCAATTTCTTGAGGAACTAAAGAATTTATGAGTCTTCAAGAAGGTATATATTATAGACCACAGTTTCAGGATTCTCCATACAGTACATTCATTTTTAGAAAGCCACTGACTACTGTTAGTGGTTGCTGCAACCAGAAGCCTGTCTCACAACCACAGACTCAAGACAGGATTACACCCTGGATGGGATGCCAATCACATGCACACATACACACCAGGTTCACTGCCATCTCTCAATTGTGTCTTCAGAGGGCGGAAGGAAACTGTAGCACCTAGTTAAAACACAAATACGTGGTCATAGGAAAGCTCCCAATGCAGAATTTTACCCAGTGTGAGGCAGCATCACTAACAGACAAACTACCTGCTCCCAACAGGTATTTTCTTTGAGTAGATTTTTAATATAGGTCTGCAAGATTTACTCATCATTTTTTAGAAAATAATGCAAAACTCAGATCCACAGCTGTGTATACCTCAGTTTTAAAATAAAGTACTGAACTGAATGTGTTTAATTGCACTCATTTATGCAGTGTTGCATACTGTTGTATGGTCATTTTCCTTTATATTTTATTATTTTTTCTTCATGTTGAGAACTGACCTTTTGCTTTATATGCTTATTTATTTTTGTAAATAGCAGTTGTAACGGTTTGTAACGTTAATGAGATGCTGTAGTTAACTTGCTTAAAGACATGATTATCTTACCCTTACCCACTCATCTCTAGTAGCTGTTCAAAATATGTAAAATTGAAGAAGCCAACTGTCCTTACAGGCTCATTTAAGAAGTATCAAAATTAGGAGGAATGTTTCTGCACTTGTCTCCATGATTAGATCAAATTTTATTCTCTGATATAACATGTCACTCCAGGCAATCAAATCGTTAAAAAGAACAATTGTCATGTGCAATTGTACCTTAACAGCGAGTAAACCTGACAAACACAGCCACCAGTAAAAGGTGCTCATGATCATTTCTACTTTTTGTTTCCTCCTCCCAGGTGCTTTTATCATCTGCTGGACCCCTGGTTTGGTTTTGCTGCTGTTGGATGTTTTCTGTGCCAAGTGTAACGTGCTTGATTTTGAGAAGTTCTTTCTCCTCCTCGCCGAGTTCAACTCTGCCATGAACCCCATCATTTACTCCTACCGCGACAAGGAGATGAGCGCCACTTTCAAACAAATCCTGTGCTGTCAACGCCAAGAGAATGTCAATGGCACAGCAGAAGGTTCGGACCGCTCAGCTTCTTCTGTCAACCACACCATCCTGAGTGGAGCCCATAATAACGATCATTCTGTTGTGTGAACACGCCAAGCAAAGGATAGTTCAAGGGAGATGCAATTCCAGGTATTCAGGAGAGAAAGGGAGCATTTCAACACTCACCTGTATTTTTTCGAAGGGTTTTCCCACATACCTTAAGACATTCCATGAACTGCTTAAGGATGACTGGAGATTATCCATTATTAAAAGGATTATCAAATAAACCCTGACTTCCCTCTTTCCAATTTTTACCTATCCTTTGCAGCTTATGAACTATAGTCTTGGAAGGTGTTTCCTGCATATCTGATCTCTGATGTGTGACAGCAATATTGCCGACTGCTGTTCAACCTTCTTACAACCTTATACCCACTAACTCACATTTACATGTAGATTTTATGCTTTAAAAATAATAACTAAAGGAATTAAGAACACATTTCATGTAATAAGCATTTATACCCATTCCATCAGCATGCTTGTGATGGACGTTTTCTCTTTCTCAATAGGACTCCTTATATCTTATTGTTTTTGTTTAGATACACTGCCATAACCATTAAAGATATATTTTTCTATTTCAAGTGAAGATGTAATTTGTGGTTAGATCTTTGTTTAAAAAGTGTGAATTGAATTTTGTGTGTACTGGCTATATAAATGTATGTATATCCAAATGTTTCTTCAAAAAAGGGAACTGTTTCTTTGTAAAATAATTAAACAGGATGGCATACATAAATGGCAACTTTTAAACAAAGTTTACTGGCCTTAATTTCTTCTTTATGCCTTTAAAATTATACTTATGGGATTGAAAAACATGTTTTACTGTCTTTTCAGCATACTAAATTGTTTTCTAAGGCCACTTGTATTTTTTCATTATCTACTTTGGATGTCTGCATTAGTTTCCTTCATTTGTAAAATATAATTTATATATGAAATAATGATGTATAATTTAGTCAAGTATTTGGGGGGTGGGGGGTGGGGATATGAATACTTTTCTGCCCATTAGCAATATCATCAAATTAGGAGATTACCTGAAATCTCATATCTGTAAAGTTGGTCTTCCAGGAAAGTTTTATTTGGTCCCTATAAACACTAATAAACTCTCCTCTTCTGCCTACATGTTTCCTACTGTACTTTTCTTACTTTCCTAGAAGGAGGTGTATTTGTCTTTTTTAGTTATCAGACTGTGGAATTTGGTGGATTCAATATTTAAGTACTCATTAACCAGCCTTCTATTACAACAAAGTGCTCTAAAATTGTTTTATAGCTAGAATATGAAGTGCAGACACCAATAAATAGTACTCAACAGGATTATAAACTGGTATTAAAGTTGTAAGAGTTATTGAAAATATAAACTGTGAAAACACATTTACAAAATCTTTGCATTACCTGCAATCTCTATTATCAGGAGTGGAGGAAAAGAAGACTGAAGGAACATTGTGACTCAAGATCACTACCTGAAGGTTGCAAGCTGAAGATGGCGGGGAATAATATCTGCTGTAATTTACAGAATGTCCTGAATCTATTCATCAAAAAGTGGAAAAGCTTTACTGTGACATGTTCATGGAATAAGGTGTTTAAAACTTCCCTTCAAACAGTTAAACATGCTTAAGGGTCTATAAATAAAGTTGACCTTGGAGGAAAAACAGTATGCTTTATTGTTGCAAAACTAATACAAATTGAACTCTTGCTCTTCATGTCCTCACCAAAATAAAATAGAAGCAGATTCTAACACCACGCAGTATCCTTTATAAAATGTTTTACTGATGGAACCTTTATTTTTTCAGCATGACTGATCTCATGCCCACTGTCATAATAGTAAAGTGTTATACATCTGCATATATAGCTGCTTTCAAATGATATTCTAATATCATTGAAATTGGTGGTGGGTACTAGCGCCAGTTTAAGATTGATGGAGTAAAATAATATTCCATGACTGTAGTTGCCAGTATTTTAACCCCACAACTACATACAAAACATTTCAATTTTGTCTTACAGGAAAAAATATACTTTTTTATTTAGTTTTATGATAAGAATAGATATTCTACATGTATTCAAATATATTTGTAGATGGAAGATAGAAATCAAGGAAACGCTTTATGATACATTAAAGAAAACATTTGTAATTGGTTTTAAGTCAATTTTAAAATAGTTCTTGATCGTTAAACAACATAATTTGGATCTACTTTAAACTGCCCACCATGACAGATGGGATTTATTTTGTCTTTGAGAAAGTTGAAAGGATCTGGTCCCTATTGAAAAGGAAAGAACTGGATCTAAGAACAGATGCTGAATGGTAGGGATGTAAAACATTCCAGTCATTTACCAGTTCATCGGTCCAGTTGTTCAAGAAATCCATTCACACACCCATAAAGAACTGTGTTGACAACTTGCTCTTCATCTCTGTCTGGTCCGGAACACCATACAAAATGTGTTCTATATCTTGGAAGTGACGAGAATATGTTTGGTATGTGATGCATAATGCAAATGTGAATCTAAAGTACAATAAGCCCACAGTCTGGCCATACAGTAGGAGCCAAGCTCTTAAATCACAGCAGCTGAAACCAGGAGCATTCTTGCTGTTCTTCACAAATATATGAAAAGAAACATTGAACCGCATATCAGTGTGTCTTGCAAAACTGGGTGTTCTCCAAATGTCAGAAGGTAATATCAAGGACAATGAACTGTGAAGACACGATTAACTCTTAACACTCTTTTGAGCGCTTTTAAACAGTTCTCCTTCATCGTGCAATGCTATAATAAATGGAGATCTAAATTTGTATTTGTTAACATATTGGTGGTATAGTTTTTATAAACGTAGCATCTACATCAAGAGTATTGAGTAATTTTTAAATATTTTGTAAAAAAAATGTATTTGGACTCAAAATATTTTAAGAGTAAACGCTGTGATTAAATGCTACTAGAGATTGAAGTATGTAAAATCAGTCCTGTTGTATCAGAAAATCCTACAGAACAACAATGTGGCATGTTGCAATGTTTTTTGGTTGTTTGTAGGTCTGATTTTAAAATCCCGAACTGAATATTATGGGTTGTATGGTTTAGCACAGTACCACACCTTATGGAGTGCACTTAAAAAGTAAGTTATTTTGCTCAGTTTTATTCCTTTATATTATATAACAACTAAAAATGTATATATTCAGTTGACTCAAAATAGTTTAAATGTACACATATACAGTATATATTGCATATGTTGACAAATACATTTTTTAAATACTTAGGGTGTATTCAGTGGTTAACCAACAAATTAACATTTCATCTGAATTTGGAAGAGCACATGTTCTTTGGCTATGATGCCTTTTTATTCTAAAATGTTTTATATGATTTTTATAGCCTATTTTAAAGTTTACTTTTTTGTAAATTTTGAAAGAGGCATGTTTATTAGAAGTGAAATGGTACAGTATGTTTTAAGTGCATACCTTTACAGCTGGCTTTTATTTTTCTGTTATTACTGGTACAAACAGTATCTGCACACTTTGTCATGTTTTTCCAAAGTAGCCTTGTTGCTAACACATTTCTGACAGACTTAGATTTGGTAAGATTAAATGGACATAGAAGAAAGACATAGAAAACAATTTTCTTATCAGAGAAGATAAATTGTAGAACTACAAGGCCAGATTGCATTGGTGTTTACCTCTAAGGTCACTCGATCAGGGAGCAGCAATTTTTTACTTGCTTTTTCAGTTTCTTGTTACTCTCAGAATCTGTAACCAAAACAGAACTTTTATATTACTGTATTTGCCTACTGTCAATTATTACTTCATTGTTAATGTTTGTAATTGCCAAATATTTAAAGATAAAAATAATTAAAAAGTAGGATGATCCAGTGAATGTTCACATATTTTTTGTATCTCCTATCCTCCCTCCTTTCTCCCATGTCACACGGCATATTTTTGTAGGATGATTATTCTTTAATGAAAAGTTAATGCTGCCAGAAACTGTCTCAGACATAGTAATTCCACATGGAGGTTCAAACAAAGTATAAACATTGGACTGAAAAGGTCTATATATTTCAACAATCCTAAACATTAAAGGGCATGCTCTCTGATTTATTCTGTACACAATTCATTGTAGGCCAAATGCCAAATGCATAGTAGACAAATCTCACATGCTGTTGATTTCTAGTTTGTGAGTGAACTAAAAATGCAAGATCCTTAAATCCAGTAGTTCAGTTTGTGAAAGAAAAATCTAGTTTATGACAGTTTTCTACCCTTTTTTATAAGACTTCCAGGGATATTTTTGGCTTTTTGCTGTGAAAATGTCTCATAATGTGCATTCTCCAAGTACTTACTAAGTACTTGGAGTACTTGGAGGTAAAAGAAACTTGTAACAATTGTGCTCTGCACAGTTTGATTGTTGTCTGTTAGAAGAATAGTCAGCACATTCTAGATTATGGTTTCAACTAGTCCAAATTTACTTATTTTGTTCCTCCAAACTTTGTTTTTGATTACTCTGCACTATCCATTAACAATGGTGTTTCAAAGAAAAGCGGGAAATGTTCTTTTTATTTTTAAAACTTGTTCTTTGTTTCATTTGATACACCCTTTTATACTGAATTCTGAGAGCAATGCTGAGGAGGAGTTTATGTTGTTTGTTTTCTATTCTTTATATTTTTACTTTTTAAATGCATACATATTTTACATTAATTTATAAGCTTATCCAGGCTTTTGCTAAAAATACAATTCCCTGATTTCATAATCATTTTTCTGTTACCAAGTAACTACCGACTAAGCACTGTTATCACATCACACTTATTGAATCAGATTTGCTCCATTTTTCTTACTACAGAAAGCTTAGACCTATTAAATTTTAAAACTTCCAGTTCTAAAAAACCTAGAAGTATTCAAGAATTCTTAAATATATACTTGAAGCTCTTTTTAAAAAACCTAATAATGTTGAGTATTATTATGTTTAAATGGATTAAATAGGTATTAATATGAGTAGATTAGGTATGTTGGGTGTTTTTGCCTGTGAAACTAGTATTGTACTATACAGTATAAGTTACCCATGAACTTAGATTGTTACACAGCAAGCAGTCATTGTCATGTCACCAATAGGCCAGCTGTGCTTGACAAATGTACAGTATATGTGATGTGTGGGTTGCCACATACAGACTACCAAAAGATAGCAGTCATTAACAATGTTGTGTAAAGTATGCACATCACAAAATCACCTAATTAGCAAGAGATTTGATTGGTGACAAGTGAAGAGGTGAGAACTACTGTATGTGATGCAGAATATTTCACAATCTCTTCAACAGCAGAGCTGCCATCTCAGGTGGACTCATCAGCAATTTAACACAAGCATTTTCAGACAACTGAAGAAGGCTCCTTTCTTCTCTTTTTAGCATGGAATAAACCTTTACCCTACTTGAATTACTTAAACTACTTAAATCTTTAATTGTTTCTTTGTAGCCTACACATGCTGATGCAGCTACTGTACCTAATTGAACTGCATCTGCAATTTAGACCTTTTAGTCCTATGCAGGAATGAATTAAGGTTTTGTGTAGACCACCGTGGTACACATCAGCAAGTGTGTCACTGGTATACAGAACAATACACTAATTGTTGTGTACAACAAGTCAAATGATAGTCTGGGCAGAAGTGTCTAGCCACTTGTAGTGTAGTTGCTTGTAGTGTTGCCAAACTGGATACACTAAGTCAATCAAGTCCTGGAACCTTATCCTGATGTGTCTACTTTCCAGCAAAGACAAAGCTTCCACTCAGGCTGCTTGTGTAATGATAGATGTCCTGCTCATCAGACCTGAGTTTTCTAAGGTATTTGTAGTGCTCCAAGCCCACTAAAATTTAAGCCAACACAGACAAAAGAAAACTAAGAGGATGTAAGAACTAGCTAGTACAAAGTGGAAAGACCTGGACTGGCAGGCTTTTAGATAACAGGGTTGTGACAGGCCAATTGATGAAGCAACAGCATTTGCGACCTACCTGCCACTAGAGGCCGCAAGCAGTCCTCTATTTTTTGTGAATACGCTCACTAGATGTCAGTCCCTTCAGTATTAGATTATTGTTGCCACAACCCAGATGCATTCTGCTGGAGTAGATAATAGAGGTGCTACCCTCCATTTTTTTGTTTAATTTTGGGAACTATACAATGTCTTTATACTGGTATTGTGGCATACCAGACCTGGATAGTGTGCCAAGTATCCTGCCAGACCAGGACCATTATACTGTAAATTGTGGAAGACTTGAGCACTCTCCAGGACACTAGGAGTCTTCAGAGAAGAAAGGAAGTCATAAGCATGGTGGGACCCAACCCTTTGAGATGAGAAGTATAGCAGTGTATCAAGAGGGGTTGGCAGTGCCTCCTACTATTGACTTACCTCAGCCCCGGACATGGGGATGGTATGAATGTCGCTGTGATATCAGTCACAGTCCTAGATTGCTATGGTGCTTCCTCTAATTATTGTAAATAGACTCATTGGGTGTCAATGTGTTAATTATGGTATTATTGGTCATGGGTGGTGAACCATTTTTGGACTTCACTTCACAGTCATTGTGAATTTTGTGTGTACAGTTCCCGAGGATTTTCCTAGTGAAGTTTAGCATCTGTCATTTTGGTTCTCCACACCAGGGAAGCCCTCTTATCTTTGGAGTAACCATCCTGTTCAAGGAGGAGAGACAAATAAATAGGGATATCTTCCGCCATCTCAATTTACTGCAGGCGAAGAGTGATTTACAGAATGTCTTTTGTTCTTTATATCAGTATTGTATGTCATATACTGTATTATTTCTTCTTTTAAAGAAGGTGGCACACCCCTTTCTTTTATTTTACTTTGGTCCTTCTGCGCCATTGTCCTGCATCCAGTTGTTTCATTGTAGTGGGGGTCTCCAACCCTGGTCCTGGAGCGTACCAATCCAGCAGGTTTTTCAGCTATATATATTTTACACAACCTATAAGACTATAAGAACAGTGCTGGATTACAGTATTATTTTGCACAAAGTATTCAGGCACTGTATATTGCAGTTTAATAAACCAATATGAAATGCAATGTACAATGTATTTAGTTTTCATGATAGCTATACCATATACAAAATATACATAGTCAAAATAAGATAAGAATGTTACACAGTTTCAGTCCTGTTTTCTTTCAAAAGTGAAAAGGTGAAAAAAAAACAAATTGAATGTTATTTTCAAATCTCTATTATACCGTTAGCTACTCAAATTATTCCAAGGAGAATTAAAGGCTGATGTAAACTGTTTCAATTGTATCTACTGTATACTGTGGAGAAATAGTGTCACCTGTGTAATATACGAGTACATAAAAAGAAATTAGTATTCTTAAATTTTCAAAAAAATGTTGAAAATAGATACAATATTTAAAAGCAAAATACAAAAGCAAACATTTCTCGTTATTCAGTACATTAAAAGCTATTCAAATAGTCTGTCATGCAAGTTATTGAACCCATATACAAATTACATATATAATATTTAAACAAGTACAGAAGTTGCACTCATACATTTGACATAACCAGACATAGAGTGGTTTAATAAAAATAGATCAAATTCATTTAGAAACACCGATCAATGGGATGTCCATTTCCCAACTTTCGAGTACAACTTTATTTTTAAGAAAAAACATTTATTGATCTATTTTTCATATGAAAACTCATTATGTATTATAATTGTATAAAATGTTATTCTGATCTGTTTGTGGAATTGCATCATGTTAAATCACAAAATAAAAACAAAATACTAAAGCCTAAAGTGATTATGTGCCACTTTGGAATATGCTACTGTATAGTATATGTTCAATATTTGACACTGAAATGCAGACACTTAGCCCCCGTCAGGGGCAGCTGAATGGGCCATGGTGGATAGAACTGTGTTGAAAGCTCTAGGGTCTGAGTTTAGCCTGTTTTGCCCTTTGTGTGAAGTTTGCATGCTCTGTCTTTGTTAACAAGAATTTTCTCTAGGTCCTCTTTACTTCTAGCTCCCAAGACTAAGTTAATTGGTGTCTCTTAAATTGTCCCTGTGTGGTGTGTGCCTTATGACAGACTCATGTCCCATGTAGAGCACAGTCCTGCTATAAACCTTGGGGTCAGAGGATAGGCTTCAGTTTGCTGCAACTCTCGCTAGGAGCAAACAACTTATAATGGATGGTTTTCTATCTTGTGGCAATTTCTGTAGGACTGTGCCATTTCCAACAAAAAGAAAAACACAGACATCAGGACATATACATTGTATAAGCTTCTCCCAGAGCAATCTATGCTGAGCATGTTCAAATATGTACACAAGAACCAAAGCATATGTAAATGCATATGCATATTTACAGTATGTAATGCATACTTATGTAAAATTGACCTTTATAAAAACTTTAAATTGGCTTTATTCATCCCTATAAATATAATAAGTGAAGGAAATACCTTCTCCATTACAAGTTATGTTTAAAGTTCTTATACAGTGGCCAACAATTAACAAGACATTGTACATATTGATGTTGAAAGAACATTATCAGTCCCTCTATATGTATAGTCAATAATGCTTACATATGATCATTATTTCAGCAGCCAATATTTTTGAAGTGGGGTAGGTCCATTTATATACAGTATAGCACTTCTTATAATAGAAAAAAATAAGTTGCTCTTCCTTAACTATATATTCCTGTTTACTGTTCCTATCATATGATTTAAATTCCTTTTAAAATATATAAATTCTTATTTCTTCATTGATCTTAACAGCAGCACTGGCTGCTATTCACCTAAGTTTTTGCATCCTTGATGTTTACAAAAAGTGAACCATTGTAATGCAGCCACCTCTTGATGATATAGGAGTGTTTAACATCCTTATGTGAGATGATAAAGAACGTAGGTGTGAGCTGATTCATGGACAAGCTCTTAAACCCCAATTGTCTATCATGGCAAACTTGCACGCAGCATCTGATCATGCATACGTTCAAGGATGCGATGGATACTGGCAAAACTAGGTCTGTCCGTTGGATGAGTGCTCCAGCAGAGCCGCATTAGGTTATACAGCTCCAGTGGGCAGTTCTCAGGGCAAGAAAGGATATTGCCATCCCTCACATAGTAGATGACTTCTTCATGGGCCATACCATAGTAAGGCTGCATGCCATTGGAAAAGATCTCCCACAGCACCACTCCATATGCCCAGACATCTGATTCCGTTGTATAACGGTTGTAGAAGATGGATTCAGGAGGCATCCATCTGATAGGGATGGCGTCATTTTCATTTGCTTTGTAATAGTCAGCTGAGTAGATATTGCGAGACAGCCCGAAGTCTGCAATTTTCACAATCATGTTTTCCCCCACCAAGCAGTTGCGTGTTGCCAAATCCCTGTGCACAAACTTGCGTTCAGAGAGATAAGCCATGCCAGCTGCCACTTGTTTGGAGATGTAGAGCTGGTCAACACAGCTTAGGGCAACCATTTCTGACTCGGAGGAAAGGCTTCTCCCAGAAAGACTTGAACGGTTCAGGCTGTGCTGGCTCGGGGAACGTCTGCGCAAGTATTCATTCAGATCTCCATATGCCATGTACTCGAACAGCAGACACATTGGTTTCCCTACAGCACACACTCCTGAACAAAAACATAAAACAGGAATATTATAAAAGGTGCATTATGCAGAGCACAGTCTGTCAAGTCAGTCGTTGAGAATCTTGTCATATTTTCATTTTAAATGTGATCTGAATGTGGTTGAAATTTGATTATTCGGTAACCTTGGTTCCCTGTATGAGAAGAATATCCACAATGCAATGGGATATTGTTGCAACACAATGTGGAGAGAACTAAGCCTTTATACCAGCATCCCCAGTAGGCCAGGCAGGAGCATGATGCCCTATCCTCAGACCCTAACATAAGTAACATAAGTAGATTTGGGGTTGTCACACTTCCTGCTCTCCATCTTTCATTGCTGAACCTCTTCATGAGATGGAGTGGAAAATGTAACTGCCTCAGTACAAGGAAATAGTATCAGATAAAATTTAAGTGCAAAGTCAATTAAGTGTTAAGTAACCAGATGGTCAGTGTGCAGCACCACCAGTGGGCAATATGATAAAGATAAAGCAGCATATAAGTAGACTACAAAGGAACAAGTAATAGGTTTATTCCATGCTGAAAAAAAGAAGAAAGAGAACACAACGTTTCGGCCGTGGAGCCTTCTTCAGCATGGAATAAACCTATTACTTGTTCCTTTGCAGCCTACGCATGCTGACGCAGCTACCCACCTGAACTACTATAAGTAGACTAGTATGAAAGGCCCATAGAACAGACCACAGTGATAAGTCCCTGACCTCTTGAATAAGGGAACCCAAAGTTGTAACCTTGGTGAAAGGCTTGTGTGTGGCCAAAGCAATAACAAAAGTTCCCAGGAGTTAGAACATGCTAAACTGTTTTGCTTCTGCAATTTCTCTGAAACCTTTTCTGTCACCAGCAACTGGCCAAGGATATTGTTCATCTATGGCTCAAAGATGGAGCCTTAAGCATTATGGGCAACACAACATTGGCATTTCCTCATTGGCTTGGAACCACTTTCTTTTGGTTCCTCAAAGCACCGAAAACAACTAGGAACATGTCAAACAGCTGCAAGTGGTTGTGTAATAAAAAGGAAAAAGCACCACGATGCACTGAAAATTCTGTAATACACATAGTGAAACACTGAGAAATGCCCAATATACAGAGAGAGGCACAGTCAAATTCTAACCTATACTCCAACGCAGCTCTAAAAAGGTTTGATTTGAGCTAATTTCACGAGAAAGACACCAAGTGTAGATAAACCCAGCAAAAGAGTGAAAGCCAGGATCCAGTCCTGTTAAAAAAACATTAAAAACTGTGAGACACATACAGTAAAAGGGGAAAGTAGAAGGTATGCCACCTATACTGTATCTCCTCAGGAGAGGGGCTTAAGACAGGACATGACATTCCTGTCTGGACCATCTGCGACATTGGTAGAAATACTCAGTCCTCCATTGCTTGATTGTTACTTGTTGAAATGAACAAGAACAGCTATTGTTTGCCAAGACTTCAGTACATTCACAGATTGAAGTGCACTGAAATTATAATGATCTAACATAAAATCTCCAAGCATTAACAGGAATAAATCCTATGCCATGTAATTGCTTTCAGCAACACATACATAATATTAACACGTCTACAGAATTCCTGATTATTTGGCAGTGGTAACATCCTTTATATCAACATTAAGAAACATAAAAAACGTGAATGAATGTACTGTAAGTGGAACACACAGATCCTTCTCTTTTCGTTTTTGGTAACAGTGCTCTATTGGAATTATTTTTGATGACTTTTTCAATATTTTTATTTACCCACATCCCAATTCTATGGGACATAAATAAATTATGCTTCACACTTGAAACCTGTAGATGTGAAAATAATTTAACTACAACATTTTGAAAAAAATTCCATTGTAATTGTTCTCTGTTTCCTATGGATTTCTAGTCATCATGTTTAGTTTCCTTTTAAGTAAGTAAAAGACGAAACAACTAAGGCGTTTTGGAGATATTTTAGTTTGGGGTGATAGGGTGATGGCATGACAATGATATTGAAGTTAAGAGATTAAATAGCTTTAAAAATTCACTTATGTTAACAAGTTCCATAAAGGTACAGTGACCTGGTTACTACTACAAGAAAATACAGAAATATTATTAACAAGCATCTCATGTTTAGGTAGATATTCAGATTTTATAATTTGGTTTTATAGGTGTCATTATCATTATATGAGATGAACTGATGCATGAAAGACACTCCAGTAAAACATAGTGATACAGTACATGTTCAGTATATATCATTGAATACTGAAGATTTGAATGTGAAATATATACTAATTAAATTACATGAAGCTGTAGACACATTAGTAATCATTTTAGTTTCTTTCAGACATGGTCATTATACATTTAAGACAGCTAGCCAAGCCAAGTGTATCCTTCAGTGCAACAAAGCAAACAATTTAATCTGTGCCTTCAAGAAATATTTAGAGTTTTGCAAGTTTGTTTATATTTCTTCAGAAGAAGAAAATTCCACAGACTGTTTTTTGTATATGAAAGCGCAGCGTTACCTAGGAGCTTAACTATGTTGGGGTGATCGAATTCAGCCATCAGAGCCGCTTCTCTCTGGAAGTCTGCCTGCATGTCTGCTGAAGCCTCCTCTTTAAGCATCTTCACTGCTACCATGGTGAAAGGTTCAAGAGAAAGTAACCTAGGAGCCCTACAACATAAAACATAAAAAGCAATTAGACAGGAAGAGACTACATAGTTAAGGATGTAAAAGAATTCTAAATGCCAAAATCATTAAATATTTATTAAAGTTATTAACAGCAGATATTTTTTCAGTCCTATATAAGTATGCCAGAATGCTTACTTTATACCTAGGGACTTTTTTTTTTGGTTCAGTTCAAGGAATTATTAGTTATTAAAAAGGCAATTATCAAATGCATCAACTTTCCAACAGAACTGCAAAGTAAATAAACTTGACAATTAAACTGGCTAGGTCAATAATACAGGCTAATTTCCTAACATTTAAATAATTTAAATAATTACTTGAGTTCCATCACTTCTCATTACAAGCTAAGTATTGTTGCTAAGCTAATATTGCTTGTTGCTAATATTTCTGTACATTTATATTTTTTGTAATATTTTCCATTTGCTTTGGTGTGTTGTCAAATATGTTGCCATGGTGGTGTTGTGGTAATACCTGTTGCCTTACTGCTCTTGGGTCCTGGGTTTGATTCAAGAGAGGGAATGCCTTTTATATGAGGTTTTCCTGTCTTTGCTGTGTACATGGGGGGACTTGTCCAGGACTTGTTGCTGTTTTCTCCCATTTCCGAAAGACAAGATGGTTAGGCTAATTGGCATATCTAATGTTCCTTGTGTGCTTGTACAGTATTTTAATATTCATGTGTATGTGCTTTGCAATGCAGAAATGTAAGTGCCTGAACTCTTTGTGTCAACCAAGGCTTTTATTCTCAAGCTATATCTATGTCATGAACCGCACACGAGCACTTAGAACCACCATACCCACGAGCACCTCTCACCGTAGACATTCACTCACTAATTAATCAATTATCATTCCACACAATCTTCTCTAGCTAAACCCTCTCACTCCACTCAATCTCCACTCACTATTGAGGTTCCCTCTCTCGAGCTTAAAGCTCGCTTTACCTTTTTGGAAAGACGCTTCTGTCTGATCGACTTTTTGGCTCTCGAAACTCTAGCACTATCCCTTGGCTACGGCTTTGCTTAACGTTTTCGGACTTAGATACTTTTGGTACTACACGGAACCTTTCCGGAAAAGACCTACAACTGCCTCGCATTGGGTCCAAACCAGCGGCTTCGCTGCAACGCCTGACAATCTATTCACGTGGTTAATTGTAATGTGGAATGTGCTTTATTCACACAAGGTGTTATTAGTGAACATTCAGTCGGTATTACAAAACTATAAAACAAAACCAACAATAAATTATTAGCTCCTTCTCTGGAGCCTCCATTTAAAAAAAAATCCTATTTGGAGGGAATGGTGGCTAAACCACTTACAGTATTTAAAGTATAATATAATTGCCATTTTTGATTTTTTACATTTTTCATTTTTTAAAATGTGTTCTTAAATATTTTCCACAATTTTTCACAATTGCTTTTATGCTTAGTGACATTGATCCACACACTGAGCTCTGCTGTTTGTTTGTTTTTTATCCTTATTTAGGATATATCCTCATTAGTTTACATCCTCATCACAGAAGGGATCTCTTTAAAAGATACATCAAATGTGTTCTTCCACAATCTTACATAAACTTATACATTCAAGACACACATTTGTAATTCTTCCCAAAGTTTTAAAATATAGGAGATGACCCATAGAATGCACTGCTGAAATATGGGTTCAGAATACTTACCCTTAACACTTGCAAGGAAAACTGAATGGTCAAATTGTCATTACTTCAGTTTAATATCTCGTCTGAATCATGACCACCTCTTATGCTGCAGCACTGGTTTGGAAATTCTGGTTTAGTGGGAAGTCTGTCACCTGCTGGTCCACCAACACCATTTACAGTACCAGCTGGTTATACAGATTAAAGATCTCCCAAGTATTGAACTGCTGTCACATTCAAATATATGTTTTTTTTCATAATCCTAGGGCAAATTTTTGTCTGTCATTTTACACTACATCATGGCCTTCTGGGTATTGTAGTTCTAGTTCTTTGTGGCAAGTTAATCAGTGTACAGTCTCTGCAGACCAATGGCTTAATTGTGCCCCTTTTGAGTACAGTACCTTGCCACACATTCTGTCACGCCATATACATTATAAAGTGGCAAGTCCAAGCAAAATAAAATTCTTATTAAATGACACATAATTAAATTCCAAATCTACAATAATTTTGTACAAAAAGATATTCAGCTTGCCTAGCTGGTGCACACATGCACTAACCAACAACGACCACACACAAACATTCTCCAACACATGCTTCTCTTTTTTTCTTGCTTTTAATGTGGGTGGCCACAGTTATTATGCAGGTCCCACGTGCACAAGTTCCATATGGTATAATGAGAGCCTTCCATCCATTTTCTAATTGTTTTATCCAGCAAAGGATCGTGAGGAAGCCAGAGACCCCTGTCCATCACAGGACACACACAGATAGACACAAACATGTACACACTCACACAAGGGCCAATTTTCCCAAAAGCAAATTAACCTACCACTATGTTGGTTACAACTGGCAAGCACCCACTTGCCACAAGAAACCACAAGAACATGGGGAGAACATTCAAGCTCCACTTACAGTAGATAGCACCCCAGATCTGGACCCTGAGCCCTAGTGCTGAGAGGCAGTAATGCTAACCACTGCACCGCCATGCATAGTGAGGACCCTTCATCCAACCTGATCTCATAATGCATATTCTAGTATACTTTGGGAACCTGCATTCTTCTGCACGTATAACTGATCAGAGGATATTAAAACAGTGAGTGTTTCCATAAAAATCTCTTGAGTTTGAATCCAGCAGGATTCAAACTTTCTATTTGAAATCTTCATATCACGATTTTCTAGTACTTTGTTAACTATAACTTGCCAGTGTCATGAAGAATTAATACTCAAACCTGCAAGAGACCCCACTGATCCATTAGAATAGTTTAACAAACAATCCTTAATATTCTTATAATGCTAAAAACAAATATATATATATACAGTACATATATTAGATACTGTACATATGTATCTAATTTAGTACAGCAATGAATGTTTCATGCATTGTTTAACAACATTATTTACACTACTACAGTTGTATAAGCAAGAAAACACACATACATATAAATATCTAAGTTTAGTGAATTAAAGTTAAAGCAATAACATTAATTAATGGTCAATTATTTAGCATACTGCATAAATATTTGTGATATGGAGAAAAGAGAAGGTGATGTACTGTATTACATTTGCAGCTGTCTAAAGATACACAGCTGAGCAAAACTGGCAAGACGCTCTTAAAGGATTTATCAAGTCATTACTGATTGCTTCCTGTCATGGAAGCTGCTGGGCTCCCTGTCAGCTCCTGAACTGTCAGTTCCTGAAGAAAGTAAACACTTATGCTGAGGTATAAATAGGTTTCTTACCAGTCACAGCTAACATGATAATGCCTGCAGGGAAGTTTCACATTGAAACCAATGTTAGCCCTGCTGATATTAGAATTCTTGCCCCTATTTCTGGCTGTTGGCATGAAGCTTATCCATCTCTTAGTGCTTTTCCCAGGAGTCTCCATATCCAAACAAAGATGCCTTTCAAGTGAACGTGGATAATGAGGAAAGGAAAGATGTCACCACTGACATCACTAGCAAATTATCTGGAACCTGGGTACAGCACGAAAAGTTTAGCTGCTTTTAATTGAGAAACTTCTATGTACTGTAGGCGCCAACAAGACATACTTTATAACACAAAGCACTCCAAAGAGCAAATTTAGTAAGCAAAGAAATTTATTCTGACAGAGAAAATCATGTGACTGAATGATTTGGTGTCTCTATTCTTATTAAAATGCTCTTACTATGGCAGTCAATCAAGATCACGAAGATCTATTATTATTACTACTACTACTACTACTACTACTACTACTACTACTACTACTACTAAATGAGAGAGACTTCTAACACTCCTTCAGTAAGAGTAAGATCCTGAAAGGTAACAACGGAGAGGAAGCCATTTGGCCCATCTAGCCCACTTGATGGTTAGTTACCTCATAGATCCGGTGATCTCATACAGCTCTTTTTCTAAAAGCAGCCAGAGTTCTGAACCTTGTCAGTGCCTTTAAGGATTTTGATACCAGTCTTTTCTGGTGTACTGCGGTTGTGTTACTGAATGACCTCCCCCAATCCTTAACAGGTCTTATATTCTTATGCATCGGAGATCAACGGCCTAATTATGCCCTCAAACACAACATTAAAAAATAGTCTTCATAATATTTGAATACAATTTCCGTCGTTTTTTTTTTTTACTTTCAATGATGGTGACAATAGGGAACTTGGTAACGGTTCAGGCACTATTGATGTAAAGTTCTAGAGAAACTGTAAACAGTAAAGAATGTTGGCTTTGGCAGTATTGCTCCCACATAGAATTCATGGTGTTATTGAACTGAAGTTCGGGTGGAGGTCAAATTCTAATCTTGCACTTCCACACCGATACGCATAAAAGCTCCCTGGCTTTAGACGGAGCTGTGTGCATCGTTTTTCTAGCACCCCTCCTTCCTCCCCAACATCACCATTGCAGCAGTTATCACTGGCTCATGAAGTACCTCATGAGTAAGGGAGGGTGTGACAGTACTGTTCTCTGACCGGCACTGACATTTTCTGAGCCAAGTGAGTTCAACTATTATAATTTGACTCAATAAGTAAAGAAGAGCACAACTGATTGTTTATTATTGCCACATTAACCAGTCATAAAGTATGAATTTGAATTTCTTAGAATTTAATTTAAATTGCATATAATGTTTTTTTTAATTTTACAACTCTGCTTTTTAAAGACGTAGCAGCAAAAGCAAGGCAAGTGTAACAGCAGCAATGATCTTCAGCATATTTTCATGTCAAGTAAAATTATTGATAACCATTAACTTTGTATACTGTATACCCTTGGTTTATATTTATACATATAATCACATTTTGTCTTACCTAGCTTGGAAAACCCTTCCAAAGGCACCTTCTCCAATATCCCTCACATACTCAATGTTATTTCTTGGGTATTCCAAACTAAGGAGCTTGGAGTTGAGAAGGAGAGGTAAGCGTTGGTACATTGGATTAGGATGGAGGCGGTCCAGCAACAGCTCGGAAGGAAGAGTTGTCAAAGTGGGTGTTTCCATTACCCTTATAAAATAAAGGAAAAAGGTATTGCAGTGAAAGATTCAGACAGAAGAAATTGCTGGATGTTTTTTTTTTACAAAAAGTAAAACTTGTTGGGTTTTTTTTAAATCAATAGTAATATTGTTCTATATCGTGTCCTGTGACTACCTTGTTCTGTGGTTCAGAGAAATATTTCTTAACCCTTATTCTGGAGGAACACTGTCTTACTCCAGGTGCATTCTTAATCACATGTTGATTGATTTAATTCTTCTGTTTAAGGAGTATTTGCAAATTAACTTTCAGCTCTTGAAAGGTTAAATGGGATTTGTGATTGATATCAACCGTATACCAATTTCTGAGTTGCAGAATTGTCTTCATTCAAGTATGTTGCCTGAAATTTAATCAATTGCAGTTCTGCATAAGGAAACAGGCTCGTGTGGGAGTCTGAAAGTGTCATTCCCACCTGTATCTCTTAATTATCAATTTTTCAACTAACAAGAGTTGTTTGGCAAAAATAGTGGCAGGCAAAGTGAGGAGAGGCTGTGTAAAAAGGCTGTATGTTAAAATTGTTGGAAACAGTATCTGTGAAGGAGGATATTTTGGAAACTTAGACTAAGAAGAAAAACAAGCTAAATAAAAAAAAAACTGGCAGAGGCGATTTAGAGCTCAGCTGGAATAAAAACCAGCAGACACAATGTTCCTCCAGGATGAGGGATGGGCACCACTGCCCTAGAAGGAGACATAAGTCAGAAGGTTTCATAAAGCTAACAACGCACACTCCAAAACTTATTTTTTTACTTGGCTTTCAGACTACAAATGCATATTGAAATGCACGTGTGTAAGCATACCAAAGATCTCCTGAAGATTAAAACCATTCATTTCAAGTAACTGACCTCTTCCTGTTCTTCCATGTTTTTCTTCTTCTTCGACACATGAGAACAAGAACAATGACGAATGCTGAAGCAGCAAAAACAGATATGACTAAAACAATCACAGTCATGGAGTAGGTAGGGGACACCAAATGAGGTATGTTTGGAGCCTGATGTTTAGGGTGTGTAGACACAGGCATAGAAACTGTAGGAGAAAAAAATGAATATAGGCACATTTTAATGTCACACAATAATATTTTACTGTGGAAGCTCAGATGGCAAGGGCATCTAGCTCCTGACCGGAAGATCTGTGATCATAATGACAGCTAGTTCTGAATATGTGTTCTAGGTTTTCATCATGTTAAAAGCTAAAATTCTCATTATATTGCTTTCACAATATGTATTAAATCGTGAAGTGATTCATACAACATTTTGATCTCAAGCTAAAGGTTTAAAAATTCCCTAGTTCACATACTGATTTTTGTTTAAGGAATCACCATCTCTCTTTTTATTACTTCTGGCTTCACGTATGAGCGACAAACGTATGAGCGACAGGGTCATGCCTGGGAGGATTCTCGAAATACAAACATACTGTAGGCAGCCCTGGATTCAGAATACAGACTTTATTTAAAGGAATAAGTTCAAACAGAATTTTAACTCAGGTTTTACTACCATTCTCTCTGTAACTGTGACTCCAACGAGACCCAGGAGCTGGTTTACCGGCTGACCGGCTGACTGACCATGCATGGAACATACAGCAACGCATCCGCATTCTCATGCTGGTCAAGCAGTCTAATGGCCTCCCTGGGAGCTCCACACTCCAGCCCAGCTGCACTTAATTAAGGGCGGGGAGGCAGCTCTCCCTGCCACAGTATCTTTTTCCAAAAGTGTTTTGCTGCCCAGTGAACACATGGCATTTGATTAAGAATACAAAAACAGTACTTTTCTAAGTGAAGTAAAACTTTAAAGAAAATCTTATACTTAAGTGTTATAACTCGTTCTAGGATAGGAATAAGAACAGGTAAATTCCATGTTGAAAAAGGAAAACAAACGAAAGAACAATGTTTTGTCTTTGGAGCCGAATTTGGGCATTTTGTGGAGTTAATCCTTTTTTGTTCCTTTGCAGCTTTCATGCTGATACAGTTCCCTACAGGAAATCTACTGTACTGTATTTCCATAGATACGTCAGAAATATGCAGGGTAGTGTAATGTTACAAATTACAGTTTTTCAAACTAAAGCAGTAATTCTGAATACAAGCTCTTCACTGAAGATTACTCACAGCAAGACATTATTATAGAAACCGTATCTGTAAAAACCACAAAAATTGAAAAGTTGTTTCATTGACAATTTCATATAAATATGTTCTTTAAAACTGGGATTTCATAGATTCAGTATCATTTTCAGGCATTTTTTAAAAATATGCAATGTGTCGGTTATCAATCTGTGTACTTACCATCCCCACATTTTGGAACATTGCAGTTGTCCCATCTAAAGTTTCTATCCGTGGTGTAGCACCAAGGCTTTTCACTGTCTCCTCCTGGATTCCGACAATAGTTCTCCGAGTTCTTCAATTCAGGGATAATCTCTGGAGACAGCCTGTGAGAATGAGGAACCTTTGGAGACCAAAACCAAGGAGAGCTTTTTAATATTAAAACATTATAACTATAATACAATTTTCTCATTGTGTATAAAATGCAATTGTGTATTGTGATTAACCTGGAATATCCAATTAACTGTGTCTCTAAATAAACATCCATCCATTTTATAACTGATTCATCCAATTCAAGGTAACAGAGAAGTCAGAGCCTATCCAGCTTCCATCTAGAAGCTAGTCCATTACAGTGCACACCCACACATCCACCCTTTGGGCAAACTTTCCCAGAAGCCAATTAACTCAAAAGCACTGTATGTCTTTGGACTGTGGGAGGAAACTGGAACACCCAGAGGAAACCTACGTGAACATGAGGACAACATACAAATTCCACGCAGACACCACACAGGTCTAAAATTGAACCTTGGACCCCATTCTGTGAGGCAGCAAAACTAAGTACTGTGCCATCATGCTGCCCTGTTCCGTAGCAAACTTTCATCATGATCTATTTTTTGTGATAGAAGTTCAAGTGGATGGCTGCATCAACAAGGAATAGGTAAAGGTTTATTCCATGCTGAAAGAAAAGAGACATAATAAAATGTTCCTTATTTTGTGATATATTTCTAATTATTATCCAGATTTATTGTGACTTTGATAGATTTATTTTTATCTTATTGCAAAGTGGAATTTTCCTAAAAATGATTTAATAATCATCTTATTGAATGTTTCATATGACAGAACAAGTCTCAGACAAATATTTCAAACTTCTACATAACCTTCTGTGTAGAATTTGTATATAATCTCAGTTAATTGGTGTGTGAAAATTGTCCCTGTGTGCCCTGACATGGACTGGCATCCCATCCAAGGGTGCAGTCCTGCCTTGTAGCCTATGCTTCAAGAAGAGACTGCCACACTTCTTATAGGAAAAACAGCTTTTTGATAATGGATGACTGGATAGTGCACTAAATTACTGTATATGACTGTTCATTGCCACATGAGAATTTTTATTACAATAAAACAACTTAGATTTTAATTGAAAAGTGGTATGCAACTTTATGAAAACTAACAAAGTGTAAAGAGTGAAAGAACTGCTTCTTTCTCAGTGCTAATTGCTTCCAGAGAAGGGCGTATCAATCTGAAATTTTCTCCTGTTCCAGATCCAACATCCCGCAGGCATGAGTAGACCCAGTTTACAAACTGCTTTTGTGTAAAAAGGCAGAGGAAAGCCCTCTTGGAAAATACAGTGTGATTTAAAACTTTGGCAATATAAAATAAAACAAACAAAAACTAAAGCTTTAACAGCAAAAATAAAGCTTTAACTGTTTCTATAGTATTTAAAAAACATTGTGTTATTCAACAGTGTGATTAAAGAGTTGCAATTTAACAACTCAAAAATATCATTGTAACAGATAAGAGAGTCAAAGCACAGGCCTATAGTTCTGAGATCTGTACTGTAGTACCAGCCTGTCCTCTAAGATTTTAGCTGACTGTTATTAGGTTTCCCCAATTAGTTGTGTAGTCATGGTTTGGCTTAAGTCCTTCTCTTTATGCACAATATCATCCCTAGAAACAAGCATAAAGAGCAACAGTGAGCTTGTGGTGTTCACAGTGTCGCATTTATTGCCTCTCCAGTTGGTGTTAACTGTCCTGACTCACGCTTTGAAGCTCCCAGTGAAACAAATGTTGATTGTCAGTAGAGTGGACACGCTAAAAGAGTGCATGCACAGTTCTTGTTTCCTCACATACTGGTTCAACTGAATCGATTAATGAAGGATAAATCCAGACTGAAAGCATATGAATTACTTTAAAAGACAACCACAAATCTTACAAAATTAAATATTTAACATATTCAGTGAACATATAAGTTTAATCATTCATTAATGTGCATCTCATTTCCATCCATTTATTAGAAGAAAGTTAATTATTACTTATAATGGACTTGGCAAGCTGGAGCTTGTTCCAGAGACAAAGAGAGCAGGACAGGACTATCCTGTGAGGGAATGCCAGTCTATCGCAGGTTATGCGCAAAAACAAAACCACAGGCAGGAGCAATTCAGAGACCTCAATTAATCTAGCCAGCATGTCTGTGAAAAGCAGGAAGAAACCAGAGCACCCACAGAAAACCCATGCAAACAGTGAGAACGCTTGCTTACTGTACAGGAGGTGCCCCAATTCAGATTAATTTCAACTCAAGAAAGGAACAATCAAGCACATAGAGGCAGCATTGTGTCAGTCTAATGCCTGTAATCTAATTTCATGGAGAAATTATTAATAATTACTGAAACTAAATTCATATTGGAAAGACACAACATTTTTGTGACATTTGAGTGACATATACTGTATATGATATTTTATGCTTCATATTTAAGCAAAGAATCTACTGAACAGCTCTTTTGTTTACTTTTTTAATGGAGAAGTGTTCATTATAAATATTATAAATATGTTTTTTTATGGCATTCAAATCATGACAACACGCATTCTTAGCATTTGAACAAGTTGGTATACTGTACATCACAAATCTAAACATTCCACATTAGAAGCTGGATGGCACAATGCTGTGGTGTTTATTGCTGCTGCCTCACAGCTGTTGGGTGGTGGGTCTGGAGCTGGATTGCTTTCTGTGTAGAGTTTGAATGTTCTCCCTGTGAACAAGTGGGGGTTCTCTGGGTGCTCCAGTTTCCTCTACATTCCAAAGACATGCTGGCTTAACTCACTTCACTGATTCTAAATGATCCCTGTGTGCTTGCGTGTGTGTACATGTATGTGCCCCCTGATGAAGTGGTGTCCTGTTGAGGCACTCACTGCTACTTTGCATCTTAGGCTACCACATCAGCCCATATCAGGAATAACCATCTTTCTGATAGTGTGGATGGGTTTTAAAAGCCTCCTTCGTGTACATTTTTAATTTCTAACACACAAAAGTGACTGGAGATAAATGTCTTGTTGTAAAAATACCTTAATAGAATGTTATTTGTTCTCTCTTAAAAAAAGATGATTTTTCTGAATTACCACAATCTACCTGTCTACATATATTTCTAGATGAGTAAAAAACATTCAGATTTCCTCTGACGCACAAAATCATAACAAAACTGCATTAGACCGTTCATTTAGAAATAAAGAAACTATGTATTGTACAAGTAATCATCCAGTAATAAGAATCATTGTACTAATGAAATACTATTACTTGTCATTTTCAATCAAAAGGGTGGGAATGATGTAATATAAAGTGCATATCCACACATGTTATAGTTTATCAAGCCTTCATAAATGACTTCATCTTGGAACCAAGACAAAAATGATGTTGTTGTTCTTCACACAATACTGGCTTAAAACCAAATATTACTGATTTGCAGAATGTGTCAAGCACTCACATAAAAACCTAGCTCTGAGGTCTCTATAACATATATATTACTATTTTTTAATTATGCTTTATTTGTTGTAGGATAGCTAATATGTGTTAATATATCATAATTTACAGTCATTTTATGAAATCACCAATTTCATATTTGATTGTCAATACCTCCTGACTTAATTGGTGATTTTTTAAGTATGGAGTAGATGTTAGCAGTTTGGGGGGTTACTTTTAACTAAATATAACAGATTATGTTGTTTTGTAAAATCCATTACATCATCTATTGCAACAATCTGGGGCAAATGAGAGAAACTCTCTTTATTCACTTTCACACAAAGACAAATATTCTTTAAATTAGGTTCTCTTTTTGTTCTGTGTTTCTTACATTTTTAGTAATTATACAATTAATGAACTTCAAGGAAGGCTTGGTAACTTCTAGTGGCTTCTTCAATGTATTGTCTTAAAAGATTGTATATGCAGAACTACATATTAGTAAATCAGACATTTTGAGAAAAGCATAAACCAAAATGTGGGATTTGAATCTATTTTTGTCCCAGGCTACTGCATTACAGATAAGGTTGAGTCCTCAAAACCCTGGACCTCACCATTTATTTCAATGCAACTATAATACTGGAGCATAATTAACTCCACAAACTCAAACTACTGAAGCAAAATTAATCTTGTATTGTTCTAGGTTTCCTAGATGCATACAACAAAAGAACACAATATGTTCAACAGGTATGATTACAAATGTGCTTATAATATCTTTATACTGCATATTTATATAAAATATAACTATTGTTAAATATAACTCTATGCTTTAACACATACAGTAAGTCTATCAGAATTCATTATGCTATTGAGTCCACTGCTGTAAACTGGGACTGTGGTTACATCCAGTGTGTTGTACCATTTAATTCCCTTCCAGGATTAGATCCAGGTTGCAGCAAACCTTTCCTGGAACACCTGACGTAATGATAATGGATGGATAATAGTGAATTACATCTCTTATCAAACTGAAAACCCAATAAATTAGAGTACATAGACGAGGATATAATTCATGTACACACAGAGGTAATGTCATTTCTTAAAATGTTCTTAGGAAAACTGATTAATACTGCACTTGTGTGTTTCTAATGCACTCACCTTTTTCTTGAAAGTGTTCTTAAAAACATATTGACTTTTTGAAAATGTAATCTAGATTTTACACAATTGCTTTTACTGCTTAACCAGATTACTATACATCCATGCTATTGCAATCTCTTACTTCCCTTTGCTTTTGATGCTAACGGTCCATTTCTGATTACACAATCATATAAAATGATTGTGGTTGTGTTTTAATCTCCCATATCTCTGCTATATTGATTTTGTTTTTGCTACAGCATAACTACCAGTACACACTATTCAAACATCAGCCATGAGCTGAGCACCTTATATTCAACACAGTCTATGTTATGCATTGTACCAAACATTCTACATTTCTACTAGATATTTTTAATAAAATGTTCAGAAATTATACTGATACTGAACAAGCAGTGTTTTTTCTTCAATTCCCTTACCTGCTCACTCCATTTTTGACAAGGAATGCCAGATGATGTGATGTTGATAAAACCTTGGTAAAATCGTCCTCTATCATTATAACATTTTGCTGTAAAACATTGTAGTACAATACTACTGATTAATGGTGGCAAAGCTCTAAATACATTTGCTATAAACCAAAATGATTTTCATGACTAAAATGAATCTACCATTGAACACATCACTTAGGCTGTGAAAAACATTCCAAACTATTCCAAAATGACAAAAATTATCTTGGGGACAAATATATGAAATGGTTATGTACATTGTATATTCACTATGTATGAAGAACAATCTAATTCTTAGACAAATATGGCAATGTGTTATTGCTGATGTTATAACTGATTACAAATAGTAATTTACTATTAGGGGAAAAACCTAATCTCTGAGTCAATCATAAAAAAGAAAGAAAATCAAATAACTTAAGGCACTTACTTGTAACTTGATCTTTCTTGATATCTGGAAAAATTAAAAACACAGGCTTGTTAAACTGCCCTAAAGTTATGTATTTTATACAGGATACAGACTTTAAATCACTCAAAAAGATTTTGAGTAATAAGTGACACTAAGACTTGATTAACTAGGTTTTGCTAAAAGCACAGTAATCAAGGGCATACGAATAGCTCCTTTCTTATAGTAATTACCAGCTTTTTTGTAGTGTCACAAAGAGGACATCTAAAGGCAAATCTAAAACAAAAGTACTGTAATTCATTTCTATATAAAGAATCCTTTTGACTTCATGTTCACCAGCAGAAAAAAATTGTATATCTTCTGTTCATCAGATCTTCACCAGCAGACACAATGGTGGATCTTCTGTACATCAGATTGAATTAGAATTTTAAAAAAGAATGATTTAAAACTATTTGAATTAAATGTAATTGAAAATAGTAAAGAAACATATAAGCTTAAATCTGTCTACCCTCACCAGCAATTCATTTTTCACCTATCAGATTTGTTTGTATAGTTATTCGTTTTCTCTCTGTGTTTGTTGACTATAGTCTGCCCTGAATATTGTGAGATATTGCCTTTTCTAGCAGTTTCCCTCAGATACTCTTCCTTCACACCACACAGCTTTCACTTATTAGGAAAGGGGAAATAATATTCTTTCCATGTGGCTCTGTATAATGGGCCAGAACTATTTAGCAATAATAGCTGAATTAAATATTGAAAATTACACTTGGCATTTACTCTTCCTTAGACTCCTTAGAACATTTTTCTATATCAACTACAGTTAACTTCATGACAGTATGAAGAAAACCCTCAACAAATATAATTTCTCAAAAAGAAGTTTGTGGACTGTGTTTATGATGTTCAGTAATACAGGAAACAACATTTTCCAAGAATCTAATCAATGAGGATTTACCTTATCTCTGTTGGATTCTACCAAAGATTATATCTTTGCATCCACTATCACAAAGGTTAGCATGACACTAATTCCCAAGACATATCTCATAACTTACAGAGTAAGAGAAAAAAAAATGATTTATTAAGAATTTTCTGTCTCAACCATAACCACTCTAGTCTGTGCAAAGAATGCTTATCTTATCTGGCTGACTGCAATTTGCAGAACAATGGCACAGAAAATCCAAATAATACAGATATGAAGACACAAGCTGGAACAAGTTTCTACCATCTGCTTGGTTGTACAGTATATGAACCACATCACATCACACATATAAGGTACAGGATAGAATTACCAATGAATGGCACTGCGGTGCACGCTGTCAAATCCATTTCCCTGCTTGGGAGTTGTAAGCAATCAGGTAAAGTGAGTTTCAGGCCTGACAAATATATCCCTTTGCGTGAGTTGTCCTCTATGGAGAGCCATTCTTTGGAACAATAAAGATCCTTCACAGCCATGCAGTGCTCTCTGAAAGTAAGCAATAACAGTTTGCAATGCATCTATCATGTACTGTACTTCAAAATTCAAAGTAAGATTGATGGTATTTGTGGATAAAATGAAACAATATATACCTGTACGGCTGTTCAGTAGGATATTTGCTATTGATTTCCTTGTTTTTTGTTTGTAGTTTTTGAAAGATGTTTCTAAATTCAAGGCATTTGAGATTTGTGTCATGAAGACTAACTAAAGACTATCTCTTTACTTCTGTTTTAATTTACAAAACAGTTACAGTATATCCCACTGTCTAAGATGAAAGACGAATTTCTTTGTAGGGAAATGTTCCTCTTTGCCTCAAAACATTGTCAGCTTTATATCTGCCTGCCAGAAGAGTTACCTGCAGACTGGTTTGGGAGCTGGTCCTAAACCAGATGGATTGCAATCCTGGAAGATGTAATGACATAGAAGGGACTCAGCAGCAGGACGACAGAATGGACTGACAGCATCTAACTCTGCCCAGGCACTCTGAGCCAGAAATTCCTGGGAGTCCTCTGGATCTGAGAAGGAGTAGTTAAAGAATACCAGGGCATCCTTCTGCAGTGATCCTTTGCACACCTGTCCTCGGTACGTGCTGCAGTACCCCGCAGTGCCTTTGTACAGCCTGATTTGGAAGAACACAGAAGAGAATCAGCATACACTACGGACCATGAGTGCCTACTGTTAATTGAATAGCTGTCAAAGAGCTAAAACCAGTCAAATTACATAAACTTAAAATATATTGTTTTGTACAGTATGTTAAAAGGGCAGATTTTCCTAACATCATAGTCTTTGCTTGTGTTAATGGTGATCCTAACACCCCAAATTGAAAGCTTTTTTAATTAATCGTAGCCTCTGGTAGAGGGAGGATTTCCTTACAGAAAAACTTACAAATACAGTAAGATATCTGAATTTGAAAGACTAAATAACCATAAATCCAGTCAGACTTCCAGCATATTATTTTGCTGTCTGTTTAATTGCAGATTAGTTCAGACTTGGTGATTGTTAGTGTCCTGTCTTAGATGTGCTAAATTGTACACAAAATGGCTCTTCTAATAATTATATGTCTGAAACTAATTACATCTCCTGTGTTGGAAATCACAAAACCTTTCTAAATGGCATGTAACTACAGTATGTTGAATTCTCTTTCCTGCTATATACATCATAATTGCTTAATGTTCATTGAACAGTTATAGTAACATCATTTTAAGTTGGTGTAACACAACAGTGGATTTATTCTGTGTTGTTTTGTGTCATGTTTCTATAAATCCAGCTGATGATACAGTATTGTATTTTTGTGTAATTTAGCAGGGTTCTAGTATATTTTAAATCCGTGCAAGGGAGATTGAGCAAAATGGATTGCAGTGCTAAATCTTTTATGTGCTCATTAGGAACTGGTAGGAGTACTTTGCTACTTAATTTTTAATGGAGCTAGGAGATTAGTGCTGTAGTCAGCTGCAGTTTCTCAGCAGCTTAATCATGCCAAGGTTGACAATGAACACTTTAAAATAATTGAATTATTTTGAATAAAAAAGCAGCCAGAGTTAGCAGACATATAAGCATCCCACTGAGTGATATAAAAGCAACTACAATACATGTCTGCCACTGAAAGAAGAGACACATTTGCACTAAGCACAGCCCTGCTGTTGAGAACATTGTTTTGATGGCAAGATGAGACACCTGATGTTGTAAAGTATATTCCTATATTGTGCAGTGAATAATAGATGAGCTAACGAAAAGATATAATTAATAATCAAATATCATCACTTTATGTTTTTAAATAGACAAAATGTGCAATTTAATTGCCATAATGATTTCCATATCTCTGGAATTGACAACATAATTCACCCAATCTTTGCTGTTTTTTAATTTGCTGTTATTTCAGCAGTTTGGACCCTTTATAATAGATGTAGTATGACCTTTTGATATGCATTGATAAAGGAATTAACTTTACAGATTGTGAACACATTCACCAATGATATTATTATTACTAGTCCTTTACAGAATTCAAATGTGTGTAATACTGTATGAACTACTAAATATTAGTACATTGTTCAAATAATTTAAATTGGCTGTATGAAATGAATCACAGCAAAACAAATTAGCTAAACAATTTGAGGTTTTATAAAAAGTAATTTATAAAAATCTCATCTGTAAATTAGCAGGCATAGTAAGGTAAAAGCTGCATGAGGTACAGCTTTTATTTCACTCTTTAACTTCACAGGGATTCACATATTTTATCTTGCGGAGAAGCTTTAATCTTTTAAACCTATTACTCCATCTAGTGAAAACAATAAGTCTTGTTGTGCGGATCTCATTGTGCTGATCTTGTTGATTTTGTTTTCCCAACAGAAACCTTCCACAAAATCAATTGTATGAGGTAATCAGTTTAACAACATTCTTTAATTGGTATGTATAGTTATAAATATTCTCACTATTACTGAGGTAGGCTTTTCATGAGTTTTAAAAAGTGAAAATGTATACTTCTCTGGAATGTAGTAGTAAGCATTTCTGACTTTTACTGTACTTTGTGAGTTACTGCATTTTTCAAAGTATCCTATGGTGGCACTTATAATCTAATTTAAGATGGGGATTTTCTTTAATGCATAGACTGTATATACAGTAACTACCCATTAAAATTAGCTCTGGTTCACTGAAGGGTAATTATAGAGGAGTCTACATACAGTACAGTATATGTTCAACATATAACCATAGGGTAATTTCAATTACATGGGCATGTGATTTCACAGAATAAGTCAGTCTTTCTTTTTTCAAATCATTTAAATTTAAATGATGTTAAAAAATAAAAATATGATGTTTTTGACTTTATCATATTAAATAATTGTTCTAGACCCTTAAAAAATAAAATACCAAAAGCATTGTTCTCTAAAGTGTAGATGTTTAGCAACCAGATTTTTTGGTAGTGACATGCAGTAATTAATGTCAAACATGTTACACAGTGTGCTAATGTAACATCATTGGTGTTTTTAAACCTTTGATCATTTTAAAGAGGACATTTTGTTTCTTAATTAAAAAATAGATTTTTTTTCCAGATAACATTCTCAGATGATGAGCTTTACAGTAAAACTGATATGTTAAATATGACTATGTTCACAAACCAACTTTATTATCACTGTTTCTACATCCAAATTTTTATGAGAGAATTCCACTGTTTTGTTTTTTCTGAATGCTGTATTTTTTTAAAGAGCACAAACTTTGTCAATACCCTAACAATTTATAAAAGAAAATCTATTAATTTATACAAAGAACAAAAAAAATGTTTTAAACAAAAGCTATGATAAGTTTTATGGATAAACAAAACATTGTCAACAGTGTTACTGCCATAATTCACATAACATAATTCACATAACATGATGGAAGCTGATAAAGCACTTTTTAAAAATAATAGCTTGAAGACAGACATATTCTGAAACTTAAAAGCTTTGCCTTTAATTGTCCATTTTTACTAATTGGGTGCATTATATTGCTTTGGTGGATAGTTTGAATAGTAAAGGATGTCAGCCAGACAATCTAATACATACTGTAAAATCATCCTCATCCTGTAAAGTCATATTTTACTTCTCTAAAAAAACTGCTTACCTCCATTCTATTGGGAAGTCACAAGGTCCGGCAGAGACAATAGACAGAAAAGAGCAAAAGAAGAAACGCAGTGTTAAAGAGTTTTCCCCCATGAATGAGAGAGAATGTTGTCCTAACAGTAGTGCAGACCCTACCATTGAGTGAAACAGCCTGGGAGTGTGTGGGAGGTCTACGAATGGAACAGGTGTGATTTTTAACAGGCGTGCAGGCCCCAGAATTACGAGGGCCAGAAGGCAGAGATGACTGTGACAGGGGTGGACAAATTGCTACTGTCTGTGATAACAATTGTGAGGTAGCCACGTTTTTCTCACAGTTGCCCTTTTCTTTCTGCTTTTTCTGTCACAAAAGCTGATCCACTGAAGCAAATTGCTGATTGGTCAATCTGTTTGCGTTTGCTATTGGGCGAGAATTTACAATAACTCACTTAATGGTAGGTGCATTCTTCAGAGTCCCAAAGCTTTTCAATTTTGCCCTTTTTTTCTGTGCATCCTCCAGTGTTATTTAATAACTCATCCATTCATTAGAATGTCCATATTAATGATATTTGCACCATGTTTCTGAACACAAACACCAAAAAAGTCTCCAGGTGGGAGTAGATGTCTATCTTGTGTATCCTTTGCAAACATATTATAAAAGCAGCAGAATAATTATATCATGCTCAAATTTGACAATACTATCGATGAAAATCCTAAATGTGATCTGTACATAACACGTGTAGCAGGCTCTCTGTGCACACACATACAGTAGCATATACCATTAAATACTGTTTGTGGTATGCAGGCACTTGCCATGAAATTTAACAGCTGTAGGCAAACTCCTATAGTTTCCTGTAGTGACACAAGGTCAATCACATTCATAAGGAGATCAAAGTGGATTAGAAAACATTCTTTATCACTCCATGTTTAAAAGTTTAGGTATGTAATCCTGGATGTGCTTTTTTTGGGAATGTATTTGATCTTCGGTGGTTGTCTGAAAGTCAATGGAATAACATTCTTCATGACTTTGGTATCCTTTTTTCCTCAAACAAATCACTGATCTGAAAGGAACACTACACAGGACCATTAACTTTTGACTGATAAGTAAATGCTACTAAGTTTTTCTTTCCTTACCCAAGATTGTAAGTTTTGCAGTGGCCTTTACTGTGTTGGCACCTCCACTATGTCTGTTGGTGGCCAGACAGGTGTAAAGAGCAGGCTTGCTGACAACAACTCGTAGTACAGAATTGATAACATCTCCAACTAATGTCTCCTCTACTGATGCACCTGAAATCTGACATAAAAACACATTCAGATTAATGCTGAATTTGCATCAATCACATTCTTGCAATTATAGTTCAGGTGGGTAGCAATTATGTTTCTTGCAATTATGTTTTCAATCTGTCCAAAGTCAAAAACATGAAAGTAGTAGAGCAAGTAATTCAAATTTAAAATGCATGTGCAATGTTTTAATGGATCGAATTGGTTAATTTTGAGTAAGCAAGTGTGACTGAATCGTAATCATTTACTCCATCTCATTCATGGCTGACCTGGAGTTGATATCTTCTGTGCTGCCATTTTTTATTTTTGAAGCCAAAGTAACTTTAATTATTATTATTATTATTAACTTTAAAAATGTGTGAGTCGATAGCCCAAGGGAGTTTCTTTTTGTGGATGGTACTACCCAAAACAAAAGGATATTTCTTACAGTATCATTCCTTCTGATAAAATGTTGATTAAATCTTTCATTCATAACCTGGTTAAACAAAGAAAACCATGTACTGTACTTGTCCAATTACAGTGTACATCTGCATATAAATCTTCAGTGTAATTAATTAAAAGGGCAGGCTCCTCTACAGCAAATGTTATGTCGTAGGTCACCAATGCTGACAAAGAGCATTTTTGCTTTTAATTATTTTTATAAGAGACATGTAATAAATGAATGAATTAACACAGTACTGAAGAACTATATGGGCCCAACTCAGACCAGCTTCAGACACAAGGGTCATTGGACACCTCAGCTTACTACTTACGAAATGAAGCCAGTAATACATCAAATATAACAGCTGGTATTAATTAACACCTAGTTCTTAAGCGCAGCTTAGGGCAGCCAAGAGGGTAGGGCAAACTACTGTATTTCACAACCTATGTTTACTGTATGTTAATTAAATATATATTTTTAGATAACTTCTTATAGGATAAGCAGAATTATGTTTGTATCAATTACATCCAAAGCTGAATCAACTTTGCTCATGTCTCCAGGATTGGTCCTTGTGCTTTGCTACAGTGTCTCCCCAGCTTCAATCCTCACCTGTATGACCATGGACTTTGTTTGCCTGCACCAGTATAGGCATGCTACTCCTTTCCAGAGAGCCCAGTCCTCACTGGTCTCAGTAACGCCCAGCTCTGGGCATTATCAGTATGATTACAGGCTGCCCAACTGAGAAACCTGTTCGAGTCCCAGCTCGGGAGTGCGTCATTAAAAATTCTTGGTTAAAATATGAATGTACAGTAGGCTGTTGCCAGAAATTAAGACGAGTAACTAGTGTCTTAAAACAACACATCCTTATTTTGAGCATTAGGCCAGTGTTTAAGATTACAGAAATGTATCCATTTACTTTTTAAATACCATCATATGAATAAATATATTATCTAATACAAAATAAATGTAGAATATGTAAAGTATAATATAGAATATATAAAAATGTTCTATATTACACTTTATATAAAATTCTGAAATAAAATTTGATGTGAAAAAACAAAAATGAAACCAATGGCCAATATACATATGGTATATTTCATATTTATAATGATATATTTTCATTTGTGTATTCTCTAAATAGACTAAAGCAAGATTCTTTTTATAGCTATACTGAAGTAATGAATAATCCCTTCTTCAGCTCTCTAAATATTATATGTTGTGCTGTTTTTATCTATGATCTGACATTAATCCTGGAAGGTTATTAGTTTAAATAGCTGGAAAGGTGTTGATGGTCTTGGCAAACAACTGCAGCGTTGTCTTCAACTGGGACTTAAATATCACAATAAATATCTGAGATGTATGATGTGTGATACTATGTGCTCTCATGGGTGCAATGTTACAGACACCATAATTGTAAAGCTGAGAGTGCACTTGTTTTTGCACACCTGTTAATGGATAGTTTGCCCATATACAGTATGTATAGACAAACACTGTTTGATACAATACAGCATCAAAAATCAGATCTCACAAAATGTCTTTGTGATTTTGAAATAATATTAACTCCTTGCATTTTATAGAGTGCCTTTTAATCCCAAAGCACTTTACACATGAGGGGATCCACAACATCCACCAGGGAAGTATAGCACCCGCATGGGAAAGAGCAGAACACAATATGCACCAAGAGCCCCATTACATGACAGATCACACAGAGATGTAAGAAAGTATTTAATCAACTGAATCAATGGAGAAATTGAGGTTAGCCTCATTTTATAACCCCCAAACAAAAGGTAGCACTACAACAATCCTACTTTTCTGAACCGTGCCACGGAATGTTTAATGAACAAGAAGTCAGATTGAACTCTCATCAGCTGAACAGCACCTCCACTGCACAGTCCCCTCAGTCACCACACTGTTGAACTGTCTTAGGAATTCCTGTCCAGACAGAAGAGTGTCACCGACCTCCAGCACTTTTTATTATTTGCAAATCATCGGCAACATTGTTCACTCTCTTTTTAAATATTTGCACATATCTTATAGTTTTTATTATCTCCTTATGACCTACCTGTGACTTAACTCCTACTGATACATACGGTATTTATATCAAAATTTTGAAGACCTCAAATAAGTATCACTTTTCATATATTGTTTACATAGACTAAACAAATTCAAGTATTTGTATCTGTCATCAAAACTTGTCAGTACTGAAATAAGTGGAGTTACTATTTAGCTGCCCTGCTCTATGGTATGTATTTTCTTTACGTGAAATGGAGACCAGAAGTAAAAACTATTCCAGATGGAACATACAACTCCATTATATAGTGTCTTCAATCATACCCACCCAGTTTTCAGATACTAACAAACTTTAATCTACAATTCACAGAATTTCTCAATTCTGAGACACTTATTTTAGAATTTTCATTTACATTTTTATACACAACAAAAGATGCTGTGCAACTAATATTCACTTGCATTTATTCTGTCATTTTACAAGGGATTGTGTGGATTTTCAATGTAGTTTGTGCGTTTTGCTCTGTTCCCTCCTTTCTTGTATCACCAAATTGCTTTCTATCTGACTGATCCATGTTGTTCTGGGGTAGAATACACTTCAGGTTTTATTTTTCACACTAAAAGCTATTTGTTTTTGCAAATGGATCTTGCATAAAACAACTTCAAAATAAAAAAAGTCAACAATTATTCTCTTCTTGATGTATTACATTTTTCTCTATCAGCATTTGGCATTTGTGTTATGTTGCCAATAAATATAGTGGAGTGCTCTTACAACAGTTATACAACACAGTCAAAATGCTGTATTAATGCACAATTAAGAATATGTATTATCAATATACAGTATATATTAAACAACATTACTCCTGTATGTAGTTGTGAAATTACATAAAACTCATTGAAACAACAGAACAATATAAAGTTGAAATAATGTAAATTTGGAAACATTATTATTAATGTTAGTTACTGTATAACTAACAAATAGTAATGTTGTAACAGATAGTAATGTTGCTACAGCACTGGGTAATAATGTAACCTTGTATGTGTACCTGTATGTCAATTACAATTTACAATGTTAATTTACAACATTTTCACAATACCCATGGGAGTCTACAAATCTGGACTGCAACAATGTGAAAGTTCTTTGCATGTTGCATGAACATTTTGTGGTTAGGTGCAGTATTTTTACTAATGTGCATTTTATTGTTCAGCCTGAACTTGAAAGAACAAATGTACTAGTACAGAGCCACACAGGACCACATTTCTCACTTTTTCAGTATCACACGATGATCTTGTCTAGAATATAATAAATTGCTAAATTTATAGGTACTCACTGTGTTCCCATTTTCTAGCCATGTTATTGTAGGAACTGGGTTACCAGTGGCATTACATTCCAATGTTACTTCTGTTCCAAAGGGAACTTTTTTTTCTTTTGGAACTTTTAATATTCTGGCTGGAGCTACAAAAAGACACAAATGAAGAATTTACTAAACAGAGGAATAACTACTCCAACAAACACATAAATGTATTACAGTACATAAGGTTAAGTGTATTGCAAAGATATCTTTAAAACATTAAAACAGACAAATTATATCTTATCTCATTGTTTTTTTTACTTTTAACATATTTAAAACTACTTAACAAAAGTATTCAATACACATTCATTTTTTTATATATTACCTTGCTAAACAGAAAAAATAAAAAGCAGATTTAAAAAACTCTCCACATAGACAATTCAAAAATTTAATAAATGATTTCCAAGGGAAATTATCTGTTTTGAAATTATAACACTTCAGATTCACTGCTGTTACTCTTGAGCAATATAAGAACGTGTAATGCAAAACACAAGGCCTATTTTACATTTATGGCATAAACAATGAGTACTTTAAGTAGAAAATATTCATTATTCCACTTTAACAGACTCCACAGCTCCTGGTTTTCATGTTTTCCTCTCAGGCTATTTTCACATCATTTTGTTTTAGAAACAATAATTTTTGAGAGACATTTCCCATTCCATCAATGCCTTCTATTGTGCTTTTAATGGTGCTTATTCTCGAGGCACATGGACTTATAAAAAGTAACTATAACTGGGAAAGGCACAAACATGTGTTTGTTAAAATAATGGCCCCTAGAGCCTTTTTTGCTTCAATGCTTAAGAAACCTATGCCAACTCTTGATGATAGGATTAGCTGTTGCAAACAAATTGTTAAAATTATTAACATGGATATTAAATATATTAAAATTAATAAGAATTAATAATTATACTTATATAGCTCTTTTCTGGATACTCCAGTAAAAAAAGCACTTTATAGGTAATGGGGACTCCCCTCCACCACCACCAATGTGTAGCCCCCACCTGGATGATGAAATGGCAGCCAAATTACAGTATGCTCACCACACACATCACCATGTTAGTACGCTCACCACACATCAGCTATCAGTGGAGAAGAGAGAAGTCAATTCATAGTTAGGGATTATTAGGGGGCCATTATTACCATTATTTTTAGTGTTGTTGACTATGGAGTGTGTCTCCTGCATTTCACATTATGATTGCACTGTTCAGGATAAGTAGAAAACTTGTTTGCCCAACTGCAGGTGATCAAAAGAGGTTGCCTGGTGAATTACTCCAGGATAGAAAGATAACAAATATAGAGCAACAGAGAAGGCAATAACGGAAGAGGTAACACCAGCACCAGCTTTTCCTCAATGCTTGTGCCTTGCAAGAGGACTTTGTTCTGATCAGTCTGGTTGTCAAGATTCTGGCTAAGTAATCTGAATCTTATTTTAGAGTGTCTGATGCCCTAGTTATTTTAGGAAATTTTGATTTCCTGTGGTGTGGAATCCTCAGACTAAAATGTTGTCTCCTAGTTTGGAGATGCATTTTTAGACACTGGAGACTGACTCCCATTCACTTTTGGGCATCCATGTTGTAGGAAGGGAGATTTAGTTCTGAGTTGTACTCCTTTATGGGGAGTCAGGGTTTATTCCTCTTAGGCACTGCATAATGTTTTAAGTTACAGGGGTAGCACTCTGAGTCTCTGAGCCTGTAAATACTGTATGCATTATAGAGTAACTGTATGTTGTTTATGTTGTGTAATGTGTCTTGTATACTGTAGGTTGTGTGTTATTGTTTTGTTAATACATATTTTCCTGTTTAAGTTTGACTCTGATTAATTACTTTTTCACTAAAGCTGTGTAACAGAGAATATAAAGTCAACTCAGAAACCATTTTGTCATGTCGTGTCTCAAATTTTACCCTACTGCTCAAGTACTGTATATTTTTATTTAATCACTCATGCAAACATTATTATTTTTGGAATTAATTTGTAATACTGGGATATATGAGATAAAGTAAATCCTTTAAAAATCAGTAAATTTTAGATTCTCGTACGACCATTTCAACTATTATTTTAGTGCATTACTATGTACCATTTGTAAAGAATATGTGACATTTATTTGTTTCATATTTTATTTATAAGTGAAAATTAACCATTCATTCCAATAAAATTACATTAAATTTGGTCTGTAGGTGCCTTTAGTATGAATTCAATAGACATGGATTTAAGTGCTAAAGTGGCAAAGGACTCATTTGACAACAGTAAGTAATTACAAATAATTATATTTTCCATCCTAATATTCATATTACTTTAATTAAAATAATTTTAAATCCTTTATTTCCTGGATTTTCATGTTTCTCACCTACCAAGAAAATATCCTCTGTAAAATGAAATTTCAATTGATTGATACCCAATAATTTCTCCAAATAGATTCAATTTACTGAAAAACTGTCTTTTATACCAAAAGCACAATCTGAATACTGAGCTAGGAAAATTAATACTGTAAAACCAGAAACAACTGATTTAAAGACAAAGATCTCGGAACATACCTTGCACTTCAATGGTTGCAGGTTTAGAGAATGCAACTCCAAAGCTGTTCTTTGAAACACAACGATACTGCCCTGCATCCTCCTTTTGAATATCTTGAATTTTTAAAGAACCAAAATCCAGAATAGATATACGATCATTGCTCTGCAAGTAAAAGTAAACAAATACACTTTTTAAAATTAGGTTTTACAAAATGAGCAATTTGTTTTTTTTTCCTTTTGTATAGTATACCCTTGGTTTACCAGTAATCATCTCAATTACCCCGTATACCCCAGTTCGATATATTTGTTTAGTTTCTAATCTGTCTTGGTAAAGCATTGACAAGACAACAAACTAATAATTTATAATAGGTACAGTAAGATTTAAAGTATAATTAGAGGGACTCTATGGCTTACAATTACAATATTCAGTCCTTTAGACTTTCTGTAGTCCCAGACATTTCTACTGTGCCATGAGACAAGGCCCAAAAGGTTGGTTGTGCCCATACTGCATGATGAGCCCAGATGAGATGTCTCTAGAGATTTCCATACCTCAAAGAAACTAGTCAGAGGCACTAACCCTTTCTAAAAGCTAGCATGTGTTTATGATAAACTAATCACATGTGCTCTGTTGCCATGGTACTGTAACTGTTCCCATACTGTATGTTGTATTATGAAAAAAATCAAAAGAGTTTATGATAAATACTATTTCAAAGCTCAGATAATTAAGTAATTATTCACAGACATACTGTAGCTCTCAACCCTCATAGTTACTCAAACTTATCTTCTGCAAAGTACCTCACTCCACATAACATCGAGTGTGTCTGGCTAGTCCTGATCAAGGATGCAAAATATGGGATATGTAAAGTATTGTGGGTTTAGTTGAATTCTTGCTGATGACTCAGAAAGCTTGGGTTAAATTACTGACTAAAGATGGAGGCTTATTGTCCTTGAAGCTAATATTCTGACTTCCATGAACTGATAGGATGACATCCTCAGATCAGCAATTTGTTACTGGCAAACAACTGAGCCAGCAAGATGGCTTAAATAACCTCCTATCATTCGTAAGTTTTTTATGTTTCTGGGAAACAAAGCAAGAGCTATTCGTCTGAGATATACAAATCTATAAAAGTTTCCCTGCCATTCATTGGGTGTGCTTGTTCATCAAATAACACATGTGTATGTAGCTTTCCCAGCTTTAATGAAACATTATTTTTATAGTAAGCAGAGCTTTAGTGCCTCATGTTTATTTGGAGTGTGACTAGAATTGTGTTTTATACGTTAGAATAGGTTGCTTGGCTGAACATCTCTTTACTTAATGAATCTTACAAATCAGTGATTCAAACTTCAAAGAAGAATGCAAACTGCTTTAAAGAACTAACACTTATTAAACCCAGTCCTTAAAGAAAAAAGTGTACATTAGTACAGTAAAGTTACTTTCTTTTCATAAGTTCTTCAGTCATGCAGACTTAAAGACTCAAAGATTCTTGCATTTCAGAAGATTCCATGCTTTACACTGCTATTGTATTGGCTTTTATTTAATAAGCACAGTCTATAATCTAGTGTATAATAAATCACTGCTGAAAACAAAACCTAAAACTAAAATACTGTAGTTCTCTTACTGTAACTTTCAAGGAGAAAAGCAAACATCCAGAAGTTACCTTTACTAGATCTTCACCCTTGATCCAAGATATCTCTGGTTTGGGGTTACCCAGTGTGATACATGGTAACACAGCCTTTGACCCAATAAGTAAAGTAATGTTTGTGGGATGCCGTTTTATCTGGGGTTCTGAAAGACAAATACAGTGTTTGTCATTAGAATATATTGTGTAATGTGAAATGTCTGGAGATCCTTACCCTGTTGATACAGTTTAAGAATTGTTTTATTCCTAAATCATAAAAAACAGGTTTGACACCAGCCTCTTAACAGCTGACATTTATATAGTGTAATTTGTCAACAAACATTATACTGTAAATGTGAACCTTACATTCTGTGGAAAGTGAAGTTTACAACACGATTGTGTTAGGGAAATTGGTTTACAACAAACACAAAGCTACAGTATCTTTAAAAAGCTTTAGCAATTCTACACCTTGATTGCCTTCTCCACAGATGTGAGATACACCAATACATTAATAGCAATTAAACACAAAATCCATATTTCAGTAGCTATATGCTAAATACATCTTTATATTTATATGTATCGCCTTGTGCAAATGATCTTCTTTAACTGCATAGCATATGCCACCTTTTATATAGTTTATTGCCACCTTTTTATTTCACTTACTCATCTTCAGTTGTAGGGCTCCACAGCTTTTGGCAGATTCTCCTACTCCATTACGAGCAGTGCAACAGTACTCTCCACTATCTGAGTCCTTCACATTGGGAATGATCAACATTTGGCCATTTTCCTTGGTGACATAACGAGAATCAAAAGTTCTGTTCCAAAAAAAACAGTCATTGCAGATAACACACAGAATATTTCCAATGTGCTGTACAGTGTGTTAGGTTATTTCAATACACACAAGGGCCTGGATCACATCAAAATTTTGGCCAACTCACTAAATGCACATTCCTATTGGTCACTTGATGGCAATTTTCTATTTGGCCTAGGCAGCTTGTATGTAGCCAATTGAATGCTGTCATCAAGTACTCGGTTTGGAATTTTGTCAGGTGGGTTTTGGGTTGTAGTTTTAATTTAGTAAAAACATATAAAATAAAAAGGCACAAAAAACATTGGGAAATAAATCAATTTTCATTGACAAGCCCATAGTGCTGTGTGACTAAAAAAGAAACTAATTTATTTCAGTTCTTGTAACAAAATAAGAAGGGTGATAATTTAAAATCCATAGAGATGGTGGTTAAAATATCGTTATTGCCATTGGATTACAAAATCTTAGCAAAAGCAATCCAGTATAATCACTCTTATTAAAGCCTGTTATGTCAGAAGCATAAAGAAAGCAGGAATTGCTTAAATTGCTTACTTTACCAGCATCTTACAGGCAACATATTAACTACATATAAAATAATAATAAACTATTTTATATACAGTAGATACTTTAAAAAACATTACATGAACAAAAACTAAAACTTATAAAGGGTTGTAAGGAACACTTGTGAGTAGCAATTATTTTCATTATTAGACCATCTTTCTGTTGGTACATAAGGACTTAGTTTTGAGGGATATGAAACATCATGGAATTAGGTCTCTGGAATTTGGAATATTTTTGGTCTTTAAGAATTAAAAGTTCAAAAAAGATCCTTGAACATACATGTAAATGCTGTATGTCTAGATAGAGATAAAATAATTTACTTCTGAATGGTTAACCATGTACAGACACTACCTATTGCATTTTTATCATATTATTTGCATGTCCTAATTAATATTACCTCTCCTCTAATTAATACTAGTGCTGGCAGTAATAGCATTATTAAAGCATGTCAATAAAACCTATACAGTATATTTCCTTGACATGTTTTATGAATATTCTGGATAGTGATTTAGAATATCTTGAATATGCCCAAGAAAACCATCTATCAATTTTCGAACTGCTTTAAAAAATACATGGCTTGCAAGGGAGCAAGCTCCAGGCAGGATGCCTCAGGATGGGATGACAATATACCTATGTAAAAAAGGTATAAAGTTACTTAATTTACTAAACAATTGAAGCCGGGATAAGAGAGCTACTGTACATCAATGTCTATGTATTTCCCATGTTAATGTATTCAAGACAAGAAAAAATAAATTTCCTAAACATATATCACATAATCTATCAAGTATGTCCTTACCGAATGTGAACATTATTACGAGTCCATGTAATTTCAGAAGGAGGGTACGAATCCACTTCACATATAAAAGTGGCATTCTGCTCCAACAGCACGTCCACAGTTTCGAGAAGGGTAGTGATGCGTGGGGCTGAAAAGACATATTGTACTAATAATATTACAAATTAATAAGAAAAACGTACAAACAGTATTAGAAATGATATATAATGTTAGTCAAATAAATTAAGTACATAAATTATAGTTAAGAGACTGTTGTCATATAATATTTATACAATATTGAATGCAGTCATGAATCTGGCTTCAAGTGAGCTGACATGGAGAAAATCAGGCATCTTATGCTTTACAGATTTACAAAAATCCTCTTTTTACAGTACAGTATGTCTCCCTTAGGTAGTCTATATATTTATTTTAAATATCCTAGTTAATCAGAGATTTGAAGCAATCTGTCTATAAAACAAAGATTTCACATTAAGGTCTGAGATCCTGTCTTGATACCATGGGATTTGTCTCCTACTGACCTAAAAGTAAATTCATACCACCTTATCATATCGCTTCTCTTTTCTCATCTGATCTTTCCATCTCTCATATGTTCGAGTTAGCGTTAACATCGCCATAAAATCCTGCCAAGTATCATCAATTAGGTAGACTGTTTAAAAATGGAGTCAATGCATTTAGACTACATATGGAGATCAGCTGTACCTCTTCACCTGGCGCTCCCACAAAAGGCACTTTTACTCTTCAAAATGATTCCAAGATGCAGCTACTGTATAGTTTATCTCTGATTTCTCATTGCTATAAAGTGCATATGTTGTGCTTATTGGAATAGTCTACATACTTCAGGCACTATTTCAGAGTTATATTTCTTGTACTCTAGAACACTTAAACTGCTGTCAAAATACTGTAATTCACAATAATAAAACAGTTGAGGCTACTCGAGCAGAGTGTAGTATATTCAGTTTAGATTCTGGGTCATTTCCACCAGGACTGAAATGAAAGAAGAACTGTTAAGGATCCAGGTGCAATTTGGAATAGCAATTTAGGAGCAGGGATATTATATTATGCATGGAAAACAGTTCTGTAAATGCTGTGCTTGGACGTTTCTTAACATTGTGAAAATAATTTAGTTAAGGACTATGAATAAATGCAACAGAGGCCTAAAAACAAAAAATATTTTAAAGGAAAGCAAAACTGATCCAAAAATGAAGTTTTGTTTTCAAACTTTAAAATAATACAAGTACTGTATATGGTGTCTTCACCTTGACTTACTGTACAACAGTGCAAGCAAAAATAAATCGTTGGCTAAAAGGCTTACAGACTGAACGACAATTTGTGATGCACAAGGCAAAATATTTTAAATACTGATATATCAGCAAATAGAAATAAGAACACCTGACAAAATTAAATTGTTCAAATCTTGTTCAAGTCTAAATTTAACATGAAAGAAAACACATGATGAAACTTGAAGGCTGAGAAAAGCATAATAGGAGCACAAAATCTGACTATGCTATGCTGTACAGTATACAGTATTTTACTCTTGATGTTGAAGACATTGTAAACAATTAAACACTGAAGGCAGTGCACAATACACTTTTAAAACAAATGGTGTATCTGACTTTCTAAGATGTCCATGGGAGTAAACTAGTTAAGTCCTAACTCAGTATATTTCACTTGTTCAACATCACAGAAACAGCTATTGTCACTTGTTGAATGTATGGACTGAATTGTTCTACAAACAGGATTTGTGCATTATGGGAAGAAGAAAAAGACAGCTGGAATCTATGATTCAGGACCCCATTTTAGGTTTCACTCTGCAAACTACAAGATTAAGACCTACATTTGAAAGAGTTAGGGCTGGCAAAGACATCAAGTTCAGAACAACTGCTTTGGCAGCTTAGTAAATATAAAAAATGAAAGAATGTCCAGACAAGCCTTTTGTTTTGGACAATAGTGTCTTTCTGAGACCTTCAGAAATAAAGCAAGTGAAAGGAGTTGTGCAACACCAGATCATTAGTAGGCACAGTCTTCATTGTGTGATTAAACCATGATGAAGTGCAAGATTAATTCTTTTTGTATTTGTGTCACAGTATTTTGGATGCATTTATAGAAACACAAAAATAAGCCTGAAAAGGTTTCATTGTGATATACCACACTGAAGAATTTTGCAATTCTGGAACACTCTTGTTTCTATATTTGGGTCAGTATGACCTTTGAGACTACTGACTCACAGTCTTCTTAGATCACCTCCATTACAATGACCTCTCTGATGCACTTAGACTTGAATGACGTCTGCTTGTGTGGACATGCGCTGTCTGTCTCTGTGTGTTACATTTGGTGTATTCTAACATTCTGTCCTAAGACACCGCTTTTTAACCTTACTCGTACTGTACATTTCATTGGCACAGTCTCCTGTTCTGCCCCCACGTTGACAGGCAGATCTACTTGATGATTACTCCTGGATGCCCCCCTGCAATCTCCACATATTTAGAATTGTGTTTATATAGTAATTTACAACAGCTGACTGACAGAAAAATTGACTGGAAGATTCCAAAACTATACTTGTCTTGTGTATGAGTTCTGGGACGCTGGGATTGATTCTATATATCTCCATATGTAATACAGGAAAATGGGGTATATTGCTGGGGATTCATCATGAGGGTGACTTTGGGAGACCTCCACACATAAACCTTGATGTTGCTGCTAATTTTAGAGTCTCAGAGAAAAGTATACCATTTTCAGTAGAGTAGGCAGTAAGACCTGCTCATGCTCTGTCTGTCCTTGTTGTTATAATTTAAGGAAAGAAAACATTTCTAGAACTGTGAATCTCCATTCTTATATGTAGCAGCAGCATCATGTAGCCTGATCTCTTCAGAAGCCAAATAAGGCTAGACCTTCAAAGAAAACCAGGTTGCTGCTGGAAGTGGTGTTGGTGGACCAATCTTCCCCCTGGCTAATGCTAAAGGAATCTCACTATTTGTTCATTACATCGCAGGGGTGTTAAAGCCTGTATCTTGGATAAATTCTAATTCACACACTGTAAGTCTCTCCAGAACTGTGTTAGAATCTGTTAGAATACAGATCAGCTTGGCATTGGCACCTGTATTTGTGGTCCCTTCATCACGGTATCTTGCTATTTTTCTACTACAATGATTAGCATAGTACGTTTATACAGTACATTATAAGAGATTCTCTGTGAACATAAGTAGCCTATAATCTCTTCTTTGAAAAAGAGCCTTTCCTCTTCCCCAAACTATGTTCTTGTTTTCCCCAATCTCTGAAGGACAATGCTTTATGTTTCAATTGCAGTGAACTTATCAAGTTGTGACCTTATTAGACTACCTTTGATCTTATATACCCCTTATTGGAAATTCTCTATCAACCCAGCATCTCTTATAGTATTCAGCAATACTTGGCAGTTGCTACAAGTGAGAATCCAAATGTGGCCTAAACACCATAATGTCATCTAAACAGAAGGATGCATATGTTGCACAGGGATGAAGGAGCTTAATCATAATCCTCTGGAAGGTTGCAGAGGCTCCAGGCAACCTGAAAAGAAACATTGTGTAACAGGTGTCAAACTAACATACCTCATTTAGCCACCTACCCAATGTCCAGAGTCAGCAAATTGATTGCTAGAATAAGAAAGGCCACCCCGGACCTCAATATGGGCTAACGGCACATACACCTTGCCAAGGCCACCAAGCCAAAAGAGGCTTTTGTTTTGCTCCCATCAAACAGTGTTGCCATTCAGGCTGCTTGTAGCCTCCGACTTGACTATATGCAACCCGACTGCATTATATTACATTCTCATTCTTTGAGGTTGTTTCTTTGAAATGGGAGGGGCTGACCTTTTAATGTTTATAATCCTCCCAGCTTTGCCAACATGCAGTCATAAGCTCCACCACTGCCTCAGTGTGAGGACATTTGGCAGTATTGTACGGTAATTTCTCTTACTACACACAAAACATCAGTGATCCTTTCCATAGCCCCATTCTCCCCCAGACTCCACTAGAAAATTTGATCTCCATGGACCTTTTTGATAATTTAGAAAGTTTTAACAGACTTACCAATACTTCCCCAATGGTCCATGCTGAGATTAAGTTTTCTTATCTTGCTTTGGGGAGAGTTATAAGTGAAAGTACAGTATAATTAGCTTTTAAGCAGGCAGGTGCCTTTTTACTAAAGTCATACATACATATCTCGTGGTTCCCTTTAATAAACACTATGCCATAATTCAGGAAGTAAATGTCTGAAATCAGTTCAGAGGACAATTAATTTTACAACTGTAACAACATTGACTTGTGGCTTTAGCAGTTTTTCAGCTAATTATTTTAAATTTTACTGATGTGATCAACCTGTATCCTATTGTAGGATAATAAAACTGAACCTTTGCTCATGCAAGTTCTATGTCATCCATGCACCAATCAGAATTTTAATTAGACCTTATATATAATTTTAATACCTTATAAATTAAGGCATCCATGGCTTCTGGATCATAATAAGATTTCTGTGTTTCTGTTACAAAGGACACAACTACCCTCCCTATTTGCTAGCTATTAAAAAGACTGTCTACTAGGAGCTAATTAATAAAATTTTCTAAAGCATAATTATTATGGCTTTATATGTTTAAACTCTGACACTTGATTTATTCAATATTGAGTTTGATCATTTTTTACATCAGATACTGTCCTGTATGTGTTACTTTGGTATAAAACATAAAATATTTCACCAATTAAAATTATTCATATTCATTCATATAAGGTTTTAAATAATTGCACTAAATTCATTTTAAATTAAAATGTTTGTTAATGTTTATTAATTTATTGTAAAATGTGAAAGAAAAAGACTGTTAGTGTTGGGTAAGGGGCAGAGTGGAAAATGCACATCTGAGTGCTCATAGAAATATGATTATTGTCCCTTTATTTTCATTGAGCCTTTTAAATGTAATTTATTTTAAAGTCACATAAATACCATTACTAAATAACATTTAGTTTTAGCTGATTATTAATTGTAGACTGTTTTAAACATTTTATTTCTGGAATGTTTTATATATTGACAATTTTGTTTTTTTTTGTTTAAATAACATTAATGGTCTTTAATTTATGAACTCTTGAATTTCATTAATATGATATTTTCTCACAGTAGCTTTCATTTGTCGTTTTATTGAGTTTCTTTTAGATTTAAGAGAATTAAGATATGAATTAAGATATTTATTTAGAAAGATGTAAGATGAATAGTAACTGGAAGAAAAGTGAGTCAAACACTGTCCAGTGGTTTGTCATTCAAGAGATTATATCCATCCCTGCACATAACTGGTATGCACAACTTTAATATTGTTTCAAGCACTCTATTATAATTGTCTGTAGCTGTCAACTAAAGTGACAACTAATTAATTCTATATTAAGACGCATATTTAATCTTGCGGTACATTAAACCAAAAACAAGTAAGCTATAACAAGACATGAAATTATAAGTTTATGTTATAATTTAAAGATGTTTTGTATAAGTTTTATACTGTTGATTCATTAGCAATTCTCTCCTGCGTATCAACATTATAACATTGGTAAATTTGTTAAGCTAGTAACATTCTTTCATTTGGGTGCTGCTCTATGCAATGTTTATCTTAAGTATAACTTTTTGTTAAACTTAGGTGTTACTAAGTGATAAAAAACTTTCATTTCAGATGTTTCTGTTTCCTGATTAAGACACCTTTGTGCCAAAAGTTGAATTCAACAAATTATTAATATATGGCGCAAGAGTGTAAATCATATCCTGTGTATAACAGTGTATTAACTGTTCTCATCACTTCATTAACTTAGGGAGTGTTTCAAATTTATTGTTGTAATATAAAACTCTGTACCATGCTCAGTTTATTAAAATATCACAGCTGGTGAAACTGTTTGGATACAAATATATTTTATTATAACATATTATTTTTAGTAAATTTAATTTGCCACCCACTCCCTCTATATTTGTCCAGCTGGCCCTGAAATTCCCTAATCTTTCACTAGTGATGAAAAATACTAGAATAAATTAATATGTGTTTCTCTAAACATTGTTTGTAATTATTGTAAGAGTAACCAACAATAATGAAAAACAATCCAATTAGTTTTATATTTATACCATTATGTGTCTTGTCTGCGTGTGTGATGGGAAACTGGAAAGAGTATTATTATATGGTACTGTACATTTTTAGAAAATACAGGTGCATATTTCAAAGTGTCCTCCATATATAATTGGTTTCTCCCATTATTTTGATCTATTGAGAATCTGTTGTGAAAGAGCTACAGGATTTCAGTTTTATTCACTTTCTGACGAGCTAGAACTGGTGAGATGAAGCCAGATTCAATATACTTAAAAACGTTTATTTACAGGATGAAGTGAATAATTCCACTGTAGTATTTTGTATTAAAGGCAACTGATTAATGACTCAATTTTTTCACAGTCAAAAAGTCGTATTATACTGTATATTACTGGACTTTTTTTTGTATTATCGGTATTATCTCTATTGCAACTGGGCATGTTCTAACAAATGTATTTCCTTAAGTCAATGCCTGGCAAGCCCCAGTGACACATGACACAGCTGAGACATTCCTAACCTGCAAGAGTAAGGTTCACTGTGGGGTCTGACAGAACTGAAAACAGAGTTTCAAAGACAAAATACCCTTGAGCTCTTCACATGAAATAAAGTAAAGCTGGTGAAATAGACAAACCATCTAAATTTAAATATTCAGTCTAGTAGTAAAACAGCACATATTGGTTAGGGTAAAATTTCAATCAGTAAAGAAATAAAAAGTCAAACACCACAGTGGTTGTGCTGATAGGTCTTCTGAGGGTGAGTGAGAAGGAGAAAAATACTGAAGGGTTTCTAGAAATGCTTATCATCTGCAGGCTAGGTTTCACCTACTTAAACCATGTCGATATTGCAAAAAAATATTGTTATTATACAGGAAAAATCAAAACCAGTAGCAGCGGTTTTCAATGGTGGCTGTGGTAATCTCTAAATGGCACATTTCCTATACATATCAGCTGTTAACTTTAACAAGTTGACAGTTAACACACAAATATTGAAACAATTTCAATCACAGATTTCAGATAAGCAGTATTTAGATTGCAGATAAACACACATGATAAAGGATGGCTTGGTCTATAAATAATCGCTACATCATTACATTTGCAACATAGTGACACTGTGCATTTAGCTCAGATATACAGTAACTATATAAGTGACCAATACTTGGCATGCCCACCTTCAGCTTGAACACTAAGAGCATGCCATGGGCTCACAGATATCCTGCCCATGGACTAGGGTGATGTTGCTCCAATCAATCTGTAGCCTAACTGTTAGATCATTAAAATGTATTAGTTGATAGTTGAAACTAACATGCATGCCTGTTAAGTTCATCTCACAGTTTGTTGATTGCATTAATATCCAGCAATCCAAGATTGATAGAGAAAATCTTAATGATACGTCTGAAGATGAACAATATTGTGCTGAATGGTATTGGGATAATGTCAGTTGTGGCCTGGGCTATCACTACAGCTTGTGCACAGGCCTCAGAATGAATCCAGCATAATGCTGTAAATCTACTAAATAGTCCAACTCCTGAAGCTGGCATTAATTGCTAATCATTAAACTACCACCATCATAAGATTTATTACACACATGTCCATTTTCCATTATTCTATAGCTGTGCAGCCTGGTTATGTTAACTCATAATATTACTCTTTTCACCTGACTAATATACCTGTGGTGATTGCTCTGAGTTGTTTTGTAATTGGATTGTTTGTAACAAAAATATTAATTAATGTGGAACAGACACGGGTATCTAATAAACAGTCTGACAGACTATTCTAGAAAAGCCACAAGCATAGAGTAAAAGTGTGGCCTTTTACTTTAGTTCAGAAAAGTAATATTAACAGTTAGCACTCATGTTTTACAGTAACTACAAATAATATCAATGTCTTATTTTCTGCAGCAAGTTTTTAAAAATAAGATAAGAACTGTTACAATATAACAGAATTTGGCTTTATGTAGAAAGTAATGTACAGTTTGTAAAAAAAAAATGTTAACACACGTACTGTATAAAGATTAATTGATATGCTCATTATTTTACAGTTAGACCAAATAAGAAAAATATGAATTCTTAAGTTTTGTATTTGTTCAAGTTCTTTAAAAGAACTTCATTTTTTAATTCATTCAAAAATAAAATGACTAAAACTTCAGGAAAATTATTACTTGGCTCACCCTAAAATAACCCCCAACATCATATTGGTTGGGGGTAGAAAAACGTCCCAGTCTTAGTTTAATCTCTGTATGAGATTTTTCCATATGTGACAGTATGAAGTTCTCAGTATGCATGTCCGAGTTAAGACTTGCCAAATCTATCTTCATTCATATCTACTCTATCCATAAAATGACTATTTATTATCTCTGTCTTACCTACATATATAGCACTTACATTTTCAACCCTAACTTTGGACTGAACATCACTTATGTCTATACAGCTTGTTCAAGCTAGGAATAGTATTGAAAATGTAAAACTGCAATCCACAGAATTTCTCCTTCACAGTGAATTATACATTTGATCATATCATTTCAAATCTTTCAAATCCTGCAATCATTTCAAGAACAAATGTAAGATGAAGACATTAAGTCTATTATGATCACTGATGAAAAATGTTTTTTTTAACTTTCTTTATTGCAGCAATAAAAAGTCGTAATAAGTGCTGTTTTTATAAATGTAGATATTTAGACACCATAACCCATTAGCATCACACAAAGTCATAATGCTCTTAATTCAGGGATAATTCAGCGATAAAATATCTCTAAAAGAAACCATTACTCGAAAAACACAATGCATTGAAATTTTGCTACTGAAATTAATTCCAAACATGATGACAACAGTACAGCACACATACTGTAGGTACTTTGTTTTGAACAGGACAACATTACAAATTAATACAAGGGGACTTTTTATTCAGAGAACAGTTAAAATTCCTAAAAGAAGAAAAACAAGATCAGATTTGTTACAGTTACACAACCATTAAAGCATAACCAGAACTAGAAACCAACCTTTCTGATGTCCCGCATTAAGGCTGAACTGTGCCAAAATGAGGATTTGTAGAAGTGGAATGTGTTCTGAAAGCATCATATTTAGTCCAAGAAGGGTGTATTTCAAACAAGCATCACAAAACCATCTGTCTGTTTCATTTTAAAATCATGTTTTGCAAATAGTTCCCATGGATTCTACCATCTCTGCAATGGGCCTGTCGTCTGACTCTTAAGAGTGTTCAAGAATTTTCAGTCTTGGCTGACAAGATGGACAGGAACAGCTGGTGCTGTTCCAGCCAGAGGCATGTGGCTTTCTGAAACCAGAGTATGTGTAACCTCTCAGTGTTCAGAGAAAGAAATAAAAGAGGAAGGCTCAGAAGGACAATACTCTTCTTAGTTCCAGCTAAAGCATGCACACACAAATGTTGTTGTTTTTTACAATTTAAAAGGATTATCTTCTTAATAATCCTAACATAATTGTTTTAACAAAATGTTGAAGTGACAATGGAAAGAGTTACTCTGTTGTAAGACTCCACAAGCAGAAGCCAAAACACAGACTGAAAAAGATACAACAAAATTAAATGGACAAAAATATATGTAGTATTTCAACTGACAGAATAGTAAGAACTCGATTTCATTCTAGAATATCTTCTTAGAGGGAATTATTTACAGTTAAGATTTTCTGGAAGAGAAAAGGCTGAAGAAACACCATCTCTTTTGTCTCTCTGCAGATGACTGGATAGATCCAGAAGATTTGATTACCCCAGACGTTATATATCTGTAAAATAGTAGCTCAAACAGACAATACTCCTCTTGTCTCTGCCATGGGGAATTGTTTTTCAATATAAAAAGAAACATTGCACCACCACAGGAATAAGGGTATGAAATACAGTATATCAAAGACATAACTTGAATAATTAAAAAGGCAGCCAAATATTTAGATTCTGGATTATTTTAGCCACATCCACGGTAAAAAAAGATTTGATCTGTGGTTTCCTGATAAAATTTTATATGTATTTTGAAGAGAGTGGAGGGTAAAGCATGGTTTGGAATCAACGTTCTAATTTGGAACATAAAAAGTAATACGGTGAAGAGTCTGAAATGTTTGAAGTCCAGATTCAGTAACAAGAACAATGACAGTCATAATTTCTGAAAGTAAAACAGCACCACTGCCACTCTACCCATAAAGTGGAGCTGGCATTCTTCCAAAGCTCCCACAGCTTTTGTGTGCAATTCCACCTGTCGTCCATCTCACAGCCTGCATTGATTTATTTTAAGCAGAGAATGACATTTGTTTGCTGTCATACCTTATAGCTGTTGCCTTAAAAATAAAAAGTACAGGTAAACAAAACACCCACATACATAAAAAGGAAAACCTGAGTTCAAGGAGGTTAGCAAAGGAACAAAAATGGCCATATTGTGATGACATTGAAATTTTGAGTTGAGACCTCATGTAGAAACACAGGACATTTCCACTGTGTTACATTCTGTTGTTTTTTTTTACTCCTCTCCCGTGCGAGGGTCCATTTTTGGAGGTGGGTGTGTCCCTAAATTGGGTCTCTCTCTGGATTGGTTGAAGAGAGCGGTCCGGTTTTAAATGCCGGTACGGGACATCCGGAGAGGGTCTGTGGAAGGGTGGTGTTAGAAGAAGAAATGGCCATAAGCGAGACGTATCGGATTTGTTTTCTTGGCTGTGGTATAGGGTTGGGATTGTTGTGACTTCCGTGTTTTTTTAGTTTTCCATTATAGCTCAGTTGATATAGACAGATATCATGCGGAAGACTTTGCTTTGGCTTTGCCACCCCCTTTCTCAGGAGACTATCGTAGACTAGTGTAGTGTTTTCTTTTGATGAATTTCCATCCGTTTAAACCCTGGCTCATATGTTAGTCCCCATTCGCCCCTAGACTAAGCCATATTGGGGATGTAACAACTGCTTTAATTAATTTTGTTATAAATACTAATTAGTCTTATGAATATTGGTTAGTATTGGTTTGTGAGTTTCAGTCTATTATTCAAAATCAACTGAAGACAAAATGTTCTTTAAATTACTACTCTGCCTACCTGAGGCTCTGGTTAAATTATATTCTTCAAGCAACAGGATTTTCTACAGGGTTCCAGACTGTTTCTTGTTGTAATTTTGTCTCTGCCTCACTCCACAGTTGCATTGTCACCAAAATTGTGCCACAGTGAGGCAGGCAGCAGTCATCATTGCACAAGAATCCACAATGAAATAAAGAAACATCTTAACTAGAATGGAACCAGAAAGAAATCAAATAATATCAAAAAGGAAGTTACAGGGGGAGCAAAGATCAAGGATAAAACAAAGGGAAAAAAGGATTAGGTACAGTAATTCAATGATTATATCTTAATGCTAAAATAATGAGACACACAATAGCTGCATTAGTAGGCACTTATGATGTTAACAGAATCACAGGAACATAGTTAACCAAAAATTATGGAAATGATTGTAACATTAGGGGCTATAAACTATTCTCATTGTTCTGGAGAGACAGGAGAGAAAGAAGACTGAATAGTGGTGTACTACACCAGAAAGTGTAATAAGCTCAGGAACTAAAGCTAGAGGAATCAATAGAGTTTCTGAATCTATATGGGTAACACTAATTAAAAACTCATTTGAAGTTAAAGTTTTAGAAGTATGCTATAGACCTCTACATACAGTACAAATGCTGATTATACTGTACTTTAACATCTTATAGTCAAATTAAGTGTTTATGTGTAGTTTATGTGCAAATGAAGAAGTAGTTTTAATGGGAGACTTCACCTTTCCACATTAAAGAACCTATGCCAGTTATGAGTTAAAAATTAAGCCCTAAAGAACTGTTCTGTTGTTTTGTGCATTCCCAGCTGGCCTAAGTTTCTCCAAGGTCTTCTAACTCATGTATCCTACATGTGACTTAGAAACATGAAAGCGAACTGGGATCTTTGCTAATTTAAATTGCTGTCCTTAGGAAAGTGAATGTGAGACTAGGTTAACCTGTTCACTTCATCTGTCCTCCTTTCTTTATTGTAATAAAGAAATCACCAGCTTTACCAAAGTCATAGTGTTTACTTGCATAAACTAGGAAAAGCCTATAGGAATGAGAGGAGCAAAATGGGAGACATGCTTATTCAGTTTGTCAGAGCAGCTACAAGAGGAAATGCAAATAGTGCTTGTTTTTTTCTGACCTGGTCAGAAAAAAAACTGGAAAAAATATACCTGGTGACTTGGTATATTTGGTGTCCTGGCCAAATTTTCCCCTGGCCTTTACCAGTTATGGCCTCTTAATAATCCCCATCTATTACTATAAATGGCTTCATTGCTCTGTTCTCATCGCCCCTGATAGCTGGTGTGTGTTGAGCGTTCTGGCGCACTATAGCAGCTGTCACATCATCCAGGTGGGGCTGCACATTGGTGGTGGTGGAGGGGAGTCCCCATTACCTGTAAAGCACTTTGATTGGAGTGTCCAGAAAAGCACTATGTATCTGTAAGAAATTATTATGACTATTTTCTAACAATCAAGAAAGGCAAATAGAGGTGAGATAACTATTAGGGAACTGTGATCATAATATAGCTTGATTTTAAGTATATTTGATAGGAATAGAAAGGGAAAAATAGAGCATACTGGACTGAGTTATGTTACATCAATGTAATTACTGTATACAATAAGTTGTTGATTTCTATTACATGTAAGGTTACGAGACCAATTATCAGAACTAAACTAGCATTACCAAGATGGAAATAAATAACAGCAATGGATATACACAGATTATATAATATGGTGCATGTAGATTTTAGAAATATAAGTCTGAAAGTGACAAGATAGCTTTCACCTTTCTCTAAGGCTAACATTTAAACAAGATATCACCCTATAAAATGTAATGCAGAGATGAGATAGGATAGGAATAACAGCCAGATGAGCATATTTGTATTCTAAATTCTTTATTAAGTTATATAGAGCAACAAGAAAAAAATCAATCTCTTTTCTAGCATCTATTTTTTGTTTATGTCAATGTCTAGTGCTAGTGAGTAACATTGTTTTGTTACATTGTTTTGTCTGTAACATTTTTGGTTGTCAGAAGCATTGAAAATGCCAGTACTTTGTATTTTATAATATGCATAACAGTATAGCAAACTGCAATTCTGTATAAATTATACTAATACTGATTTCCCTAAACATGATTTCTGTTCAGCTTGCAGGACCTCCCTTGGAATTTAATTCAGATGTTGAGCTAAAACCAATTTCAATAAAAATACTTCCAAGAAAAAGAGACATAGCTCCCTTGGAACTGCACAAAAAAATTCATAAGGTTCATTAATAACTGAAAGACTGGCAAGATGCTCTTATTAAATAAATAATTTTATTTTCATAACAGATAATCCAGGTTTTTGGCAAACTTTAATCATCTTTGATTTCCACAAATAAATGCACCACATTTTTTCAATGGCTACATATGATTCATTTTGTTATTTCTTTGTAAAGACCTAAATTTTAAGGTCCTAACTCTGAAGAAAGACATATTTGAAAAACAGAATAACATGTCATTCATTCCATCAATTCCAAACGCTGACAGTTGCTTGGCTCATAAAGCTGAGGTCATGATTTTGTGGAAGTCTGCTTTATCATTTAAAACATCATAGATGTTCAACAGTATCTTTGATACTGAAATCACTTCCATTGGTGCATCCCTTTACCTATAATGCCCAAACAATAGTGATATAACTTTCAGGAAATAGTTCTCAGCTGAAGTTCACAGCACAAAAAATAGATTTGTTTGATTGTGGCTCAGCAGGCTGAATAAAAATACTCTATAAAAAATGTTTATAAGACACATTCTTGATAATTGTATTCTTAACAACTCACATTTGTAAAACAATTTCATTCCACAAGACCTTGATTGGCTTCTATAAAATGACCAGTCATTTTTAAACAATACTTTCATATACATACACAAGTTAGTTTGGGCGGCAGACCTGCCCCATAAATTCCCTGTAGTGACACAAGGGAGAAAACACCGCTGTAATGAGCAGAGCACTCAGACAGCACTGTCACAGCATTTGAGAGATCCGCTGGGCTTACAGTAAGTAGAGACTAAGAACATGGTATCACCGCATGAGTGTAGCCATTTGGGTGATGAATCATTAAGAGTTAGGTAGAGAGAGAAGGAACTCGGAAGCCTAAAACGCAACACAGGAAGGATCTCATAGGTGCTGCTTTGAGAAAATGGGATGACCACGCACCAGACATTACCTAAAAAGGAC